GACACATTTTCAGCGGTGCTTCGGGTTTCTCCTCGCCCGATTGTCACCCTCACCCTGTCGCGCTCTTGCGAATCCTAGTTCGTCGGCAGCGTCGTATTAAAGTCGAGACAAAGTCCGTTGCATTTTCTTCCTCTCTCTCTCTCTCTCTCTCTCTCTCTCTCTCTCTCTCTCTCTCTCTCTCTCTCTCTCTCTCTCTCTCTCTCTCTCTCTCTCTCCTCTCTCTCTCTCTCTCTCTCTCTCTTCACGCTCTTGTTCACTGCAAAGCTTTATTCTTCGGTCACGCGTTCATTTTAACATGTCGATACAAATGACAATTGCTCTCGTTGCACATTCGAGTGCACTCCCTCGAGTGCACAGCTTTAATTCACGCCAACTTTTCGTGTACGCGCGCGCGCGCGCGTACACGTTATTATCGCGCACTAAAATAGTGATTTACACCAAAGCGCTTATAGTAATCTTGTGGAATTTGTTTTCTCTCAAGAGCGGTGTCACCTACGGTTTATCCCACCACTTCTAACTATAGCACGATTCGTATCGCTAGAGATTCGCGAAATGAGACACGACGATACCCTCTCCTTCCTCTCTTTCCTTCGAATTTATCGCGCGCACAACTCGGCAACTTGATCGTTGCTATTATCGTGGCTGCAGGCCACATATTTCTTTCTTCGTTCGTTCACACCCTCGATCAGGTCAACTTATTACTTATCCCGGTAAATCTTCGCATCGCTCGCGGTTGATGGAATCCTGCTGCGCCAGACTTTCCGTCGCGAAGTTCACGGCTGTGACAGCGTTGAGGAAAGTTCAAAATGTCGTTTAAGATGCCGGCTAAATCACCAGTGTCACCAGTGTCGACTCGTCGTCAAGCTCCGAGCGGAAGCGCATCATTCTGCTTCTCCCGAGAGAGACTCACAAACTTCTGTACTTCTTCTCGCACAGTTGCTCCCTAAGCCGAAAATACGGAGAGATTTTTGGTTTCTTCTCTCCATTATTTCCCAATCGTACCCTAAGCTCCGCTCACTGCGAGAGTCCGAGCCCGTGCCCGAGAGATTAACTCCAAAGTCACGCGACCGAGATCCTTCTTACAGTCACACTTTCCCTCAACCGTCCGCGTCCGTTCCAGCGTGGTGGCTGGAAAATGTGAGGAGGACTCGCGGCGACGAAATGCGCGTCAGCTTCGGCTAGCGGCAAAGCGGGGCCAATTGACATTGCACCCTGTCGACTCGGCGACCGGCGAGTCCTCTCGCTCGCGCGCGCGCGCGCGCGCCGCGCGCGCGAGTCGCACCACTCGCGAGGCAGCCCGTGCTCTCGAATAGCGCGCACGAAACGACGGATGATACCTCGCGCTCTCCTCTTGATCTTGAAAAAGCCTCTCTCGCTCGGCTCCAACGGCCGGCTTACTCCATCGTGCCAATGACCGCTTACCAATTACAGCTGCAATTCTGATTGCAGCGACACGCTGGACGCGCGACGCGCGTTCTCTTGCCGCCGCGGTGCCACCGCGGCCCGCCGAAGATACCGCCGGGAAAGCGCGAGACGATGACGCGTGAACAAGGCCACTCCGGCAAGCGCTGCGCGACAGCGGGACCTCCTCGAGATTTCCCCCGAGGAGTCCAGCACGCGCGAATCTACCACGCACGTACACGCAAACGTCTAACGCTGATCAATTGGTTGCTTTGTGACCGTAGCACGCGTGCTTCATTAAACGGCACCGCGCGTATTTGCTCGTACAACTGGATGCACCGTGCACGCTCAACTCCCCACCGAGAGCATGTACCAACAGCCGTCGCGCGCGGACCGATCTGTTGCCTCCGCTCGCACCCCGCTCCCTGCTTCTCCTCCTCTTCGCACCTTCATACACGGTGCTCCTTCCTCCCCCGTTCTCTCATGTTCTCTCATTCCCCTCCCCCCCCCCCCTCTCTCTCTCTCTCTCTCTCTCTCTCTCTCTCTCTCTCCCCGTCTTTCCTACGCATCTGATTTATGTGTATAAAAGGAGACAGATAAAATATACATTTCCCCATTATTGAAAGCACATGTATACGTTTCGATGTCGTTATGCATTATTCTCCCTCCCCCTCTCTCCTTCCCTTCCTCTTGTGCTTTCTCTTTCTTGTGTTTCTCTTTCCGTCGACACGTGAAATCACGTGTTTACGTATTACCGCTTTATACATATATATATATATATATATATATATTTTTTTTTTTTCCACAATTTGTCGACTTTAAGAGTCTCTTCGTCCCTGGACGGAACAAATCTCTCGCACTTTCTCGCTGATTTTCATGCAATTCTCATCATGTTTCCTCCTTCGTCCTCTCCACTCCTGTCCTCCCTGTAAAATGTGCGTGTAAGCGACACGCAGTCGCACAAGGCTACGGACTTTCGCTCATGTGCTGCGCACCAGAGCAAGACTATATTCCTGGATAACGCCTCTCGCGTGTCATTGGCGCAAACTTCGAGACCTCGGCCACGCCTACGTGTCTCTATGTAGGCATCCCCTCCACATCTGCAAAAATATATAATGTATATGTGTGTGTGTGTGTGTGTGTGTGTGTGTGTATACATATGTACTATGTATTCTTCGGATTTTTCTCTGTCTACGTCTCTTCGACGCGCTCCTTCTCTTCCGTATCACCGTACGAGTATCTTCTCGATCTCCTCTCTTTCGTTTTTAATAAGGGCACGTTTTAACACGAAATCGTCCGCGGTACATCTTTCACATCCGGAAACGACAAGTTCGTGCTGTGTGTTATTGCGAATTTGCGCTGTACCCGGCGATACGTGAATTTTTGAAATTGGAGGAAACATTGTGACAAACATCGAAAATTATCCAGCGTGTGCTTTTTTCATCGATTCACATTCGTGCGACGCGCATTTTTGACGTTAAACGCGACTGAGAGGCGTAGAGGCAGGTTTTACGCAGGTGAACGTTGACTGATATCAAAATGGAATATTGGGACAGATTTGTGTGTTTTTCGAAATTTCGATGTTAGAATTCTTCCGACAACCAGTTGTTCTGTAATTGATCATGCAACGATGATAGAAACAATCTTCTATGTTTTTACGTCACCAACGATTCTGTTAACAGTAATACTATTTTTTCTGTAATACGAACATATCAATACCACTTTCGTTATAGTACCAACCTCTATTTTATCCGTCCATGTATCCGGTTTGCATTATTTGTTATTAGAAATTATAACCTGTAAGGGAAACAATATATCATACAGATGCAGAAGACTTTATTTATTCCAATTAACGACATATTACATCAGTTTTTTTCACTCGCAGTGGAATTTCATTAACATGAAATTTCGAGGCGACGTTAACTCAGAATTTTGTTCGACTGGTCTTAAATCAAACTACTGTGGCTGTGGTAAATTGCAATATTTTTCTGATTTCTGCGAAATTCAGGAAAAAGTATATATCATATATTCTAAAGAGAGTTCTAAACATCTCGCGATTCTTCTCTGCACAGTTTGTAATCTTCAGTAGATTTTTAACGCCGCATTAAACACAGAAATACGTTGTTTCTTAATTTTATTTCAATTATTTTATATTCCGCTCCGTTATCTGTTTATGTTTATTATGTTTACGCTTATTTAAAATTTGAGCAAAAACCGATCATTTCTAGTACACCTTGTAAATCTTTTCTTTTACGAAATTCGTTAGTTGTGTTTTTACGTCTTTACAGAAATCCACGTTTTACGATGTCGTCGTAAAGAAAATACGTTTGCACAGGATGAAGTCCTAGGTAGAAACAGTTTCAGCATCACGTGTAAAAAATGAACTATACAGAACGTTCTTTTACAACGGATTTCTATAGGTGATCATTCTGCTACAACAGGTAGCTGCATAGTTTTTCGAAATTCCTGACTTTTTCTGTCAAAAGTATGAGTTCTTCTCACAGCTCCAAAGTTTCACTAAATAACTTTGCCAATATTAAAAATAGCACGATAAAATTCATATTGTTCTATAATTTGTTTATAACAATATCACGTAATTGTAAAAGGGATTTTTAATTATATATACGAAATATAGTAAAATAATGTAATGTGATTATTATTAAAAAAAGAAAAGAAAAGTCATCGGCTTTGATTTATAAATAGAAACGGAGATGATTAATCAATATCGTAATCATGAGAAATACATAACTGGAAACGATGCGGTTAGCTGCAATCTTTTAATAACTATCAATCTATCGAACAATATATATATATATATACATATATGTGTGTGTGTGTGTGTGTGTGTGGTGTGTGTGTGTGTGTGTGTGTGTATGTGCGTGTATACATATCAATCTACTGACGGTAAGCACCTGTAAAATCAAGAAAGAGTATATCTACATAATACATACAGAAAATCTACATAATACATACTGATTACTTGAGAAAAGAAAGAGAAAGAGATATTCGAAGTATTTGCATATTTTCTTCGTCTCTTCGTCTCTGTAAGTAACTGAAAAAAATAAAGATAGTAATTGGCATAAGAGATTTTTATTCTTTCTATTTTCTGAGCTGTTTTGTAATCTTTCTATTTTTTATTGGCTGCATATATTATTCAAGATATATTAAAAAATAATATATAATCAATAAAATAGCTTTGCATAACACAGTGTTTCTTGCTGGAAAATTGCCGATGTAAATTTAGACAGTAAATATATAATAAAAATGCATATGATTTCCCCCTCTCTATTAATTGCAACGCATTACTTGATAGGTACAATGAAAAGTGATAGAATCCTGCTACTTCCCGTACACACTTATTTGCTAATACTATTTAATTAATTTTTTAATAACTGTTACAAAATTTTCAAACCTGTTAGAGGAGTTTCTTTTACAGTTTGATCCATTCTACTTGTATGCAAACACTGTTTCTATTCACAGACACGTGTGTGTGTGTGTGTGTGTGTGTGTGTGTGTGTATGTGTGTGTGTGTGTTACATATTATAGATTTTAGTTTACGTATTTTTTGTTTAGATGGCAGCACAATGGTTGAAGAGTCTAATGTGGCAGTGTCTCCTCTTTGAGTGTTACTTTGCCAGTGCTTATATACAACCGACCTGTCAGTTTTTTCAATGTTTCATTTTCGAATCGTCTCATTTACAAACCGAGAATATCCTAAAAATAAATGTTCCATATATTATAACTTTTGGTTAATAGGACACAACTTATTGTTATACATCTTATTGGCTCTATATAATTATAAAGTACAGTAATTGACATAAATCTATACTGTTATTGACCAGTAGCGAGATATTTATGTGCAAAGATGGACATGAAGATTGCTTTAACTTCTATTGTAAAGTCCTTTCTAGAGCCACTTTCTTATATTTATGAAGACGAAGATGAGAGCATTTTGGAATTTCTGATGGAACAAATAAACACTGCTCCTACAGTAAAAAATCACGGTCGACGCATTTCTCAAATCGACGATTATGTCGAGCATATAGTACCATCGCTTAGCAGTTCACAATTCCAATATCATTTTCGGTATGCGTTATTGTATTGTGTAAAACTTGTGTATTGCGTATATATAATACCATGTGTGCAGATCGAAAACGTTGAAGTTCACAATCTTTGACATTTAATTCTTGATTGCTCGATTAGAATGCTACCTGCAACGTTTGAGTTTCTTTTGAATGAAATTGGAAAGAAGCTAAGCCGCAGCATCCATGGAAACGAAATGGTACCTGCGGATAAACAACTTCTGTTAAGTTTATGGCGTTTTGCAACCCCAGATTCATACAGGCAAGTAAATAATAACAGACACTATGATTAGAATCATCTATAAATATTAAACTTTGACACAGTTGTATCATACAATTTCATCTTTTAGCTCGATAAATCAACGATTTAATGTAGGTCAAGCTACAGCTATAAGATCTGTGCGCCGTGTAAGCAAAGCAATATGCGCACTCCTACCAAAATATGTAGTATGGCCTACAGGGAATAAAGTACCGGAAGTTGTGCTTGGTTTTTCTCAGATAAGTGGTTTTCCTGATGTTATTGGAGTTATAGATTGTACTTATATTAATATTCCCGCACCTAAGGAAAATGCAAAGAATTTTGTAAATGGGAAGGGTTGTCATTTGATTCATCTTCAGGTAATTTTAATACTATTCTCATGAGATGATCAGTTGTCCGTGTCATCCATTGTAAATTTTTGCTATTAATGTTAATGCTTATTAAAGGACAGCTACTTTTTAAATAATTAACATAATTTTTATATTGTGTTCTTTGTTTGCAGGCTGTTTGTGATCATATGGGATACTTTACAAATCTCTACGTCGGAAATATAGGTTCAGTGTGCGATGAGCGTGCTTTTTCTTTGTCTCCTCTTCAAGAATATGTCAATGATCCAGATAAGTTTCCAAATAATACACATTTAATTGGAGATACAGACTACAGACTACATCGATATCTTTTGACTCCGTATTTTCACAAAGGACTGCTGACGGAACATGAGAAAAATTACAATTCTTGCCACTCTGCTAGTAGGATGATAATCAGGAAAACACTCGCCCATCTAAAATATCGCTGGAAAAGTCTTCAACAAATTCTAGCAATAACTCAGATGGATTATGTATCTTGTCATATATTAGCATGTTGTGTACTACACAATATTTGTTTACTAAAGGAAGATGAATTGGAAGAGCTGAAGGATGTGAAATTAGCATTTGATGAAGATATTATTGTAGGAAAAACAGATCTATCGAGTGAGAAAATTCACTACAATGACAAAAAAGTTGCAGAAGCTAAAAGAGATTTAATATGTTCTTCTTTGTTGTACGAATAAATCATAAAAAGTAATTTTTATGACTTTCACGTAGAGACTATGCTAGAGAAATATCTGTAAATCTGTGTATTTATATGACTGATATTTAAGTAATTATAAGACTTATATGTACAATATTTTATTAAAATGAAGCAAATATTTGTAACATCTATATGAATAGTTCAAACTGTATAAAATGCTTCTTTGATTGATATATATATATGTCGCCAGTCTCGTATTTTTTCCTTGATTAGGAGTGTTCGAAGATAATATATAGTTGCCTTTCGATTTTCCAGCAGTAACTCCAAAGTTAGACGTTTTTTGTGAACTTTTAGAATTGCATCTGATCTGAGTACGCGTCAAATTATAAGATAACGATATCCTCGAACTTTTCCCTCCACCGGAAATATTCCAAAATTATTCAATTTTATTCAAATACGTGTGGGAGCTGACAGAGTTGCTAGACCAATTAGGGGCGGGGGGGAGAGAGGATGTGGTCCAGTCACCGTCACAAATGCCTCGAAGTGTTTTTACTTCTTTCTCCTCCTTCATTCGAATCCGAGAGATAGAACAAGAAAGAGCAAACGCTTCTAAACACTTGTAGCGATCACTGGACCGCATCTTAAATTAAAACTGCCGCTCTTATTCCAGTTTATAATCCAAACCACCGACGAGATACTCCATGGGTGCGTTCCGTTTCACACATGTGCGCACATTTTTTATAGTATACGTGACATGAAATATAGATAAATGCGCGCATATACGTGAAACGGAACGCACCCATAGAGTATCTCGTCGGTGGTTTGGATTATAAACTGGAATAAGAGCGGCAGTTTTAATTTAACCCTGTAAAGACTGTTGGTCTTACCACGGGATTTAGCGTACCAGAGAAATCTCGCTGTGCACTAGCGTCCTCTTAAGATTATCGTGGCCAGAATATGAAACATAGCTCGAAACAAACATTGGATGGTAACAGATATGGAATAACGAGAAAAAGATATCGGGGAGAGTATCAAAAGACTATGGGCAAGAGCACAGGCTTTTGCATAACGCATAAGAGAATAAACCAATTAGTTTTCTTCATTTCCCTTCTCAGGACAGAAATGAAGAACTCTGATTGGTTGGATTCTCTTATGCGTTGTTTATTATGCGTTATGCAGAAGTTTGTGCTCTGGCCTTTATGTAGTTATTAATTACAGAATTCTAATGAATAAGCGCGCGCGGATTGGAGAAGCGTCGTATCAATGAATTAGCTTATTATACCATTATACACGTTAAACAGTCAATTTACATATGATTTTTTCTCGCAGTCTTATTAAATGATTAAACGATTTTACAACAAACTAGTCAAAAATAAATTAAGGCCGGTATTCATAGTCGGATCTTATATTTCAGATCGTCTTAAGTTTATCTTCAGATTCTGTACAAATTACTTCATTGGCTACGGGATATCTGAAAGTGAACTTGAGACGATTTTAAATATAAGACTCGACTATGAATACCAGCCTAAAGTCTAACCAGTCTAATGGTCTGTTCTTTGTACTGCTGTACTGTTGAACTGGTGCGATAAGTTAAAGTGAGACAAATATAGGTTTTCTCACTCTAGCTTATTGCACCAGTTCAGCAGTGCAGCTACAAAGAACAGACCATAAATTATAACTCGCAACCTGGCCAGCGCGAACTGCTTCGTTCTGATTGGTAGATTTCCAACATCCAACCGTAACCAAGCCCGTAACACCTGTAGTGGGATATGATCTTTTAGGTTTTCAGAGAGTCTCTACTTCAGGCTTCTCTCTTGTGTTGTGTTCTCTTGTGTTGTGCGCATTCCGCTACTGTAGGCTGTAGTGGTGATAGATCGGCTGTGTGATAAATTTCAAAAGATAAAAATGCGCCGAGGATTTAATTTAAATACCAAAGATATAAAGCAGAGTATCAACATATTGTCTGCAGTGATAGACTTGGACGAATCTATTTGTAAACCTATCACCAACAAAGAGCATCGTGAGAAAATGCAGGAGGCTGTACAGGGTTTATTACATCTTGACTTGTCGGATATTGAAGAAAAAACCGATACTGAGGTAAATAGTGTAAGCGAGGTCCCTGAGTTCAACATAAGATTAGCGATAAGGAAAGAAATATTAATGTTTAGAGAACTTCCGAGATACAATGAGGAATAATTTTTTTTCCTAATGTAACCATGTTTTGGTAAATATTTAAGATACGAGTTTTCTATCGCAGATTTCCAAAAGTTAAATTTGTCTAAAAATTAAATTGTTTGACACTGTAGCAAAAGCAAAAATTGGTTTCTAAAAATTGTATCTTTTTGGCTAAGAAGCCTGTTACATATTTTGTATTATATAATCTTCAGATATTTCTATTTCTTATTATACAATTAATATATTGGTATGTACTAGTCTAGTTCTCCTATAAATTATTTAAAACGTTAACTAAATATTATATGATTAACGATACAAAATTAAGGTATATACATGCAAGTGTATTGGTTTTACTCATATTATAGATAACTTACTTTTATTTATTTTATTTTATATTTGTAAGTAAAAAATTATATAGGTTATCTTAAAACATTTTAACTCATTCTACGAATATAGAGACTATTATTAAATTAATTAATTAAATTAATGGATATGAAGGAATATATTGATTTCGTACACTATGTATTATTATAAATATTATCATAAAAAATTGCATGGTTTGATGCTAAGTGTTATTTTGATAATCCAAAATTATTTCTAATATATAAAATTTATATTCTAATATATAAAGTCTAATATGTAAAGTTTATCAAAAATATTATAGAAGAGCTAATTATTTATTGAAATTATTTTTATTTAATTTTTATATAGGTGGAAAGTAACCTCACTTCATTGCTTCTCTCAGCTTGCGCATCAGGTTACTATGAACTTGTCCAGGTATCAAATATAATTATATTTTCTCTCTTTGTGTATTTGTATATAAATATATTCTGCTTTATGTGTGTAGTGCTGAAATATAATATTTTTCTTACTAATATATGTATACTAACAACTGATACAAATTTATCCTCATATAATAATATCATATTTTAGTAACATTTAAGTATTATAAGAATTATTATATATTATAAAGTAACTGTTCTGATAAATCCAAGAAAATTTGATTTTCTAATCTATCCTGAGTTCTATTCTTCTTCCTCTTTTCTCTTTAAAATTCTCAGAGAAAGAGAGAGAGGGAGGGAGGGAGGGAAAGAGATAGAGAGGAAACTGTTATAATTATATCTTTTTTTTTTACCTTTGCTTTCTTTACTCTTACTTTTATATGATTGCAGAATATAAAAGCCAATTTACTTATAATTTAGCTGAGAAAAAGTTATCTTTATATAATTTATATAATTAGAAAAAAAAATCAAATATAATAAGTTTGAAAAGAATCGCATAATATTTCCTCTGAAGTAATATTTTATTCCAACTACTTTTTCTTATTTATTTGACTGTTATATTTTTCAGTAACATATAAAATTGACTTATATATATAATATAGCGCAATGATAAAGATAAAATTAATCCAAATTGATTTTGTAGTGCAATAAAATCCATCATCATGTATTTCCATATATGAAATAGGAACTCATCACAAGGAATGTACAACTTGACATAAATAGAGCTCACATCAAAGAGAATTGTACTGCATTAATGGAGGCTGCCAGAGCAGGACACGCCAATATTGTGCACTTACTTCTTTCTCATGGTGCTGATGTCGATGCTCGCTCCTCTACAAGTAAAATTACATAATGGTTATTTATATATCTGATGTTTCTCACAAGTACATAATATTGTGTACATAATTTTGTGTATTTAATTGTTTATCTTTCAAATATTTCCAATATGTCTATCTTTTTGAGATTACATGGTGTTATATCAAATAGATTAGAAAATAATTATATCTAATCGTAGAAAATTCTGCTCTCATATACGGATGCGCTGGTGGATATGAGGAAGTTGTACGTATTCTATTGGAAGCAAAAGCTAATATTGAGAATTGTAACGAAGATGGTTGTACACCTTTGAAGGCAGCAGCAAAAGCTGGTTATGTTCCGATTGCTAAGATTTTACTGGAACATGGAGCAATGTGCAAAACACAGTCCAGTGAATTTAAAGAAACTGCGTTAACATTGGCCTCCTACAAAGGACATTTAGAGATGGTTCGACTCTTACTGGAAGCTGACGCAAGTCAGGTATAATTGTCCTACTATCAATCAGCCTTTCGTTTTCTCAAGAAGGCAATATACGATGATTAAAGTCTTTTGTAAGTATTTAAATCAAATATGAATATTTTTGTGTATACTATGAAGCAGACCAATGAACATATACACGCATAAACAAAACTGAACACGTATACACGTACACAGAGGAAGGAGAGAAAAGGAAAGATGAATATTTTACATATATTTTCAGAGTTTTATCAATTTTTTTGTATCTTTAATTGTTACAGAAATATGATATCAATGATCTAAACATGGCACTTGTGGTTACATCGATAGGTGGTTATATAGAAGTAGCGCGCTTACTCTTAGACTCAGGTGCCCAAGTAGATACAGAAACCGACAGCGCCGAATCTTCGTTATTATTGGCGGCTTGGAGAGGTCATACGGAACTTGTGAAACTTCTGCTTGATCGAGGAGCAAACATCAATAAAACTAACATTCAGGGTTACAATTCCTTGATGCAGGCATCGCGCGCAGGTCACATGGAAACGGTCGCGTTACTTTTAAGTGAAGGTAAATCATGATTATTCGAATCGTTTAATAAATCACATAATTCTCTTGCGACTTACGTGAATTTTTCCACATAGGTGCAATTGTCAATACCCAAAATAATAAAACTTCGGAAACGGCACTTATTTTAGCCTGCCATGGCGGTTTTCTTAGAGTTGTTGAGTATTTAATTAAAACGGATATTGATATCAATATGGGATATGCGGTATATACTCCTTTAATAAAAGCAGCCCAAGCAGGACATATAGATGTTGTTCGATATTTATTGAATTGTGCCGCCGAAGTTGAAATTCAATCGGATAAAGGGAAGACAGCATTGACATATGCCTGCGAAAATGGTCATACCGACATAGTTACGCTTTTACTTACATTTAATGCCAATTTGGTATGTCACATTTTTGACAATTACGATCTCTCCTTAGAACACCAAGTTTATGAGAAATAAATCTATTTTATTTACTGCATACTTTGATCAACTTTTACCTTTTGAAATATGAGTTATCAATTTATTTCTTGGTGTAATAGGAACATGAAACGAAGGAAGGTGCGACTCCTCTAATACTAGCTTGTATCGCTGGTCATTTTGACTTAGTTCAATATCTTATGACAACGGGAGTCAATATCAATTACCAAACAGAATTTAAATACACTGCTCTCACAATGGCATCTATATCTGGTCATGCAGCTATAGTTGCACTGCTTCTTGATCACGGTGCTGTCCGACAGTATGAAGTAAGTTCGTATGCTGATAATAGTAGCTGACATGAAAATGATAGCGCTCGAATGCAGACCTTCATCTTTATAATTGCTTGTTTTCAGTATCGTTGTACGTTTTTTTTTTTTTTTTTTTTTACTTTTTTATTGATTTAGAATACTTAGAAACAAAAATTATTGATATATAATAATATTTAACATACTTTGCATAATATATATTAAATCTTACAACTTCCTTACACATCATAATATTTCCTTGAAACTCCGAACTACTTATCACGTGCCTCTTAATTGTGGTAACATCAGAAGTGAAAAAATACATGCTCAATATTTTTACAAAATATGTTGGAATAGGATATATCAATAAAATGACAATTGCAGTCTGTCAAATATATTGAAAATAATTTGGCCATTTTCTTCCTTTTGTTATAATAATAAATATATTACTGTAAAGTTAATGTAACAATATAGTCCTATCTTTTTGAGCTATTTCTTTTCATAAGTCACATTATATAAGTCAAATTGGTCACAGCGAGCAGGTAGCGAGCTTTAAAAAATTATATAAGATTGCATTCCAATGTTCATTACCATTACTGAAAATCTATAGTGCATGTAACATGAACTAGATTTTTATTATTTACAATGAATATCAGAATGCACCTAACCATAGAAAGTTGTATTATGTGCGACGTGTATATATCAATATATATACACATGTTGTATATAGTATATGATACAAACTTTCTGCATATTCTTTAAGGAAACACTACGATAATATATATATATATATATAAATTGTAAAATTTAATATATATGACATTTTGTATATACATATATATAATGTGTCAAAATGTGTTATATAGGATGAAGATGGACTGTTAACGGCAGAAGTAGCAAGAAATAATCAGCCATACACCATCAATCTGTTACTAGATAAACCTAGAATTTTTCGAACGTATGCACATAATTATAGTACTAATAACAATAATGAATCTTTATTTCAAACTTACGCCTTATGTTGGGAAGACATGAAGAATAGAGAACAGTTATCTTATATGAAGCGTGAGACAGTTAAGACTGCTTTACTAGAAATAATTGCAGTATGTGTGTGTAACACAGCAAAGGAAATGTAAAATATGGTTGCAAGTGTTGGACAGTTATTTCTCTTTTATCACGAACAATGTGTAAACATAACAAGTGACATGCTCAGCTATATAACAAGGCAGAAAAAGATTTATAAATACTGAAATAATTTTTAGGATAAAGGATCAAAGAGAAAGAAAAGGCCTCTACAAAACTTCGTTCAGATGAAATATTAGAAAAATACAAGCCAGACTGAGGCCAAATGTTTGGTTATTTTTTTTTTTTTCTATAAATGAATAAGTGTATAAGTCATATTATACGAAATAAAACTGCTATTTAACTTATTGTTGAGTTATATAACTCGTGGTTTGAGTCTTGGCTAATATGTTCGTTTGATTAAATTTGTGATTATCGACTTGGAGATTTGCTTAGTCAAGACTCGAATCACTATTTGTCGACTTGCAGATTTAAACAGCCAAGACTCCAACCGTAAGTTATCGGCTTGCAGATTTGCTTAGCCAAGACTCGAATCGCAAATTACCGGCAAATTCCAGCACTTTGCACTTTCCGGCGAAAAATGTTTTAGCTTTTTCAATTAAAGATACGATCATTAACCAAGACTTGTTTTCATTTCTTTGATAACGGCATCACAAAAGCATCTGCTTAACAGTTTCGTTGTTTTTCGAAGAAACGATGTAATATATTCTAACCAGCAATCCTAAATTTCTACTAATTTTGCACTTGATTTATTTTAATATCTATTATTCGATTTTCATTTTTTATTGACTTGTAACAGTAATCGTATTCATGTGATGATATCTACGTCACATTTTCTACGTAGATACACATACGTATGAATGAACAGCATATTGTAGTAAACACAATTTTTATTATACATTTCTTAGCATTTCCTGCTTACATACTTTTGATGCTAAATCCAAAAATGTAATTAGATAAAATTTTGTCTATCATTTAATTTTTCTGTGGCAACTGGATATTTCAAAAAATAACATATTTGTACATGATAATATAACATGGAGATTTTTCACATTACATCCTGTCGCGCGTGCGCACGCGTTATGAACGTAACATTAATTTGCTCAATGATACATCAACATGATACATTACAAACACATTGTTATTTTGGTATCGTACGCCAACTTTATAAAAGTATTTAAATATAGCTGATTTTCTACACTCGATCTATTTGTACAGTTTAAACATTTTTTTTTTTTACATGCTACATTTGTGAAGGAGTTGTGTCACTTTTGTACAAAATAGCACGTAGAATTACTATTATAAAACGAAAAGTTGCAAATCGTTAGAGTAAAACCAATACGTGTTAGTATAAAAGCATGTTGCATTGAAAAAGAACATTTTCTGTAATTCCTATACAAAGCTTTGGTTTAATTGTTCGTTTTGCCAAGTAATTACATCTCATCAGAAATGAACAGTAGTAAATCAACTTTCATACATATGTACACAAACACATGTACAGAGTGTCTCAAAAGCAGCACCATATTTCGATAAGAAATAATTATGAAGGGAAATGATATCAATTTCAACGACGATGCATCATTCATCTTCTATTGAATTCGCATCAAGGAAAAAAATGTCTTTATATGTAGAATTATATTAGAAAAAGATTCCAGATGATACTCTGTATATGCATAGGATCGTGTGTGTGTGCGACGTTAAGTAATCGGCATGTATAGTATGTATGTACACGTTTAAAAATTTTTTTCATATTGCTTTCTACATCTATGTGCTTTCTTTTTTTTTTCTCTTTATTTTTATATTTTCATTGATACGTATCAAAAATTTCCGTACCATCTGTGCCACGACTGCAAGACGCGAAATCAGCAGAATATGATCACGCTCAACGACTGACTCACACCTTGAACCTTACCGCCAAAAAGTTATGGTACTTTGTATTTATGGTACATCATATCAGTCTTTTCGTAACTTAACGTTAAAGTCCGTAGTAATTAAGGTATCACCGATACCAAGTGCATCGCGAACTGAAGTTCAATATCCTGACTAGTACGCCAAATAAACGTGTCAGAAATGAGACTAAATTCTCGACGCGCAATCGGAACTGCGCCACTACTTGTAATATTGTACGTCGTCCAGCATATTATCAGACGATGACAGCGTCAAACTGCGTTCCTCGTACATCCCTTTGGCATAACTGATCTGTCGCGATACCTGCGATGACACAACGAGGGAAAAACAACTTTTTCAAGTAATGTTTTTAAAGACACCTGAACGGCAACTGAAGCTACGTCGAGAGAGACAGAAGTAATTATATTCTGCTAATCTATGTAGCTGCTGCTGCTTATTTGAATACTCACGCGTTTCGCCACCTCTTCATTGTCGCATCGCACCTTGGGCCGTCTCAATAATTCATGTCCGTCAGAATTCACCGTAGCAGTAAAATCGGATCTGTCGTGTAGAGATATTAGCTCTATGTAATATAACGTGACGCTGTTACTTTCCATTTTCTGCATCGGTTTACAGGACAAGAGATTCGCCAGGCCGACCTCCGTCACCACTGCCTTGGTGCCACCGGAGATGACGCGTACTCTCTCGTTCGACACCAGCACCCTAAGATTTTCCGTGCCGCTGCGTAAACATTCGTACGCTACGAAGAGCTCGGAGTAGTCGCGATCGTTGATGCTGTAGAGAAATTCCTGGCCTTCAGCCTGTTGACGATTGTACGGAGGTAACAATCCGGTGGAACCACTGACGACACGCGGCGGTCGATCGCGTCTCGGTATGGCGCGATGAGCACTGTGACGAGCGAGAAACATTGACGGAATTGTTTAAGAAGAAGAGTCTGAACTGAGCCTTGAACCACTTGAATTCGGTTCAATGCCCGCAGTATTGACAGTTCTACTGTACGATCTACTTCTATATATTGTATTGTATATATCTCTCGCAGTACATTACCTCCTACTCGTTTCTCGTACAGCACTAGCTGTCTCTGTCGCCAGGTCTAGAACGCCAACAACGGGTTTCGTTATCGTGCCTACTACACCTTTCCCGAAACCGGCGAAGAAACCCTGCAAATGTGGCATGATTAATTGCGCGTGAAGCTTTATTCGCGCATGATATTTGTGTATCCACACTTATTTTATAATTATCTATCGGCTTGAAGGAAGGAGGCAATTGGCAATTACCGGGAAACCCTCACTGGCCGCTCCGTCGTAGGTCTGTTTAAATATACTGGTGACACCACCCAGTAGACCAAAGCCGAAACCCTTTAGACCAGCCACTAGATGATCACTGCTGCCCGTAGTGTTGGCCCGGATCCTTTGTCTGGCCTCTTCGTGCCTCTCGTCCATGATCACTCTCCCCAATCCGTCCGACAGAGATTCCGTTACTTTCGCCGCTGAGTTGGAAATACCGTGGGTGACGTTCTTCACCAAAGTTTTCACGCTGCCTTCGTAGATGAGTCCGGAAACGCCTTCTGTCACGTCGCTCATGAATCCAAGAGGATTACCCAGGAAATCCACGGAACCCAGAATAACCGCAGCTTGCCACTTCAACTCCTGTTCCCCAAACATCATAGCCCATATATATCTACAACCAAGTACTACAAAGACTAAAAACATTGTTTGGACATTGTCATACGTCTTTATAATGCTTCACGATAGAATGCATCAAGAATTGACTGCTCTCGAAAGGATGCTTTTTGGTGAATGGCTGCAACTCGATGGTGGCGTTTTCAAAGTTGATCAAAGTCAAGCCCAATTTTCTCTTTACAGCCTGCAAGTGTTGCGGCAGCTTGGTCGTAGTGAGCACACTAAGTTTCACCTGAAACAATTGGGCGTAGGAACTAGGTGTATGTGGAATATTGCGCTATAGTAATAATAATAATAATAATAATAACAACAAAACAACAACAACAACAACAACAACAATAATAATAATAATAATTTTCGACTCGACGATGTGCAAGATAATAGAACGAAGTCGGAAACTGCGTCGGCCTGCGTCGATTACCTGATTAGGAATGAGTTTTAGCGCTCCAAAGTAATATCTCTTGGCGTGTGCGGCAGAGACCTCAGAGATAAATCTTTGCGCCTTGAAGTCGTTCTCGTCGACCGGCTCTTCCAATTCCAACTTGCCGATCCCGAGGAACGCTGCCAGCTTCAGAATAAACTTCTCCTCCAAGTGTACGCACAGCGGCTTCACGCTGACTATAACATGCTTGTATATCTCGGCATTCTGATTCTTCGATCGCAACTTCTCGGCCGCGATGTGCAAGGCGGGCCGTCTCTCGTCCTCTGTACGAGACGGCCGTGTCACGAACAACACCGACGTGCACTGCGCCTCGAACAGCTGATTGTCAATTTGCACGTCGGCGACGCTTAAATCCAACGTGGTGTTCACCGGAGTTCGCACAAGACTCAGAGAGATCTCGGCTAGTCGCGCGAACAACAACTCCTCCACCGGTCTCTGCGACACGATGGACAATCCAAGACCGGCCGGCAGATCCAATTTCAGGTTTAATTCACGGGAATCCAGCCTCTCGATGTCGGCGTCGATCTGCGTGGGCCGATGACTCACGGCGATGTGAGACCAGTCGCGTTCCTCGAGTAGGGCGAACATCTTATTCTGAAGTAAACAAATCCGTATGCTGCTATTGACTTCTGAACAGCGCTGATTTCATTTGTCCGAGATTCTCGAGCAGATCTCGGATCGGTATAGCAACATGAATCGTAAATCGAGTACCCTTTCCTTGATGTCCAGAGCTTGCAGCACTCGAGTCGGCCCGTCTGTGGTCACTCTGATTGTCAAGAATCCAGAACCTGGTCGTAACTTTTGTCTACCCACCCGTTGCTCGACCGGCGGTGGATTACCAGACGTCTCGGGGCCCAGAACAGCTTCGCTCCCTAAAAAGCAGATAGGACCTTGTTCATCCTGAGTAAAGTAAACGCATACGCAACGAAACTGTAAGGAAGACTTGAAGCTAAGATACAGACTCGGAATATTTACAGCAGATGCAAAAATATTACAGACGTCGGAGTTTTGTAATGACGCTGCTGTAATAACAAAAAAACAACTCTTTGCAATGATGCAAAAAATTCTGTTTGTAAGAAAAGATTCCTTCGCGTTTTTCTGTATCGCACTTCGATATTCTCAGAAGGATATGCAGAAATAAAGCGCTTGCGAGAGAAGAAAAAAAAAAGAAAAAAAGGAGAAAAAGTAGGCAAAACAAGCCAAGATATTAACACGCGACACTTATGGATAAGCTCTTAATAAAATCGCCGATTTTAGTGTGTACTCTGAAACTATACGTACACATTTGCCAACGGGCGACACTGCCGCCTGCAACATTCATGATCAATTTAGATCTCTCTATACAAAGATAGCGGGCAAGAACTGTTAGAAGAAGAGTAGAAAAATCTTGATAAAGGTAAAAACTTATATAGATAATCGGCAAACAACTCAAATCTCTCTGATCTGTCGAAGATATCGCGTCGCGAGGCAAGCATCGGAAACGCGATCTGCGTTATTTAAATTATTCGGCAATTTACGCGTTACTGTCACCGACATGTAACATTCGTTATTATTAATAATACTCATAATCCGCGATATTCTATATTTTGTATGTACATACACAGGCACAGGTATTATTACTAGAATTACATAACACAGACAGACGCGTTTAAAAAAACGCGACGATCGCGAGAGAATCACGTGTTACACGCGCAGCTGCAACCAAGTGATGCGTTGAGAATCTATCTAAAGCAACACAAGATAACACAGAGAGAGAGAGAGAGAGAGAGAGAGAGAGAGAGAGAGAGAGAGAGAGAGAGAGAGAGAAAGTGTGTGTCCAAACAACGATGAACAGCGTGATGGAAAGAAATTCACAACGTTCGCGATAAATTTCATTTATATAAGCGAATCGACATCTCAAGTGCGACCGAGTGAAAGCAAAGTTCCAACCTTCGTATAGTCCCATAAAGCCGTCTTTCGACTGAACGCACATATTCTTGTGCACACAACACAGTCGGCCGTCGTCGGTAAATCGCCAGGTTTGTGTCGATCTTCGCCTAGGATCCGGCTTCCTTAGCGCGAGTGCGCAATATGTGAACGGTTGCGGGGCGGTACCCGCTATATCCAAAACGTATATCGTGTTCACATCCTTGTAATGCTTGTCTCTCGGCGGACTGGAACCTGCGCATACGAGCGCACGTGAGCCACGCTAGATCACGTTTGAATTGTTCAGCAAGCTACATATAAGACGCGCGCTCGTTGTTGCTCGTAATGCAATGTGCCTAGTTTAGACGTGAGGAACTGCTGTTGCATATAGAGTACTACTACTTTCTGCGAATACTACCTTCGTGCTGCAGCTGTCCATCACCAGTCATTCTCCAAAGTTGCGACCTAGCACCGTACTGCTTTCTACGCAGAGCGACCCAACCACCCGGACCGGCCTCCAAGACCAACCTTTGGGTTTCCACGTCGAGCGGATCCAGATCGTTTTCACCTGTCCCAAGATCGGCATCGGTCTTGAAGGTGCCTATCGCAATAAAGCCACATGACGACAAAATGAAAATGATCGCGCGTTGACCGAGTCGTAATCGCGATCGCAAGATGTATCCTCAACTTCATCCAGATTTAGATTTTCACCTGTGAATGCGATGTAAATAAAGTTCTCGTAAGTCAGACCTCTACTCTCTCCCAGCACATTCAGATCGTAAGAAGCTGTCGCACCGCCCGGTGCTGTTAACACTAAAGCAGCAGCTTGTATAGGTTCATCCAGGGCGTACGGTACCGACGAATGGGGTCTCACAGTCCATTGCAGGCCATCGGGAACTCCAATCTGCAGATTTTTATCGTGGCAAAATGAAGCTGGACATTGAACAATCATAGGACATGTATGATGATTTGCACGACAGGTGCATACCGAACGAATATGAATAATAAACAGGATAGAAAAATCACGCGAAGATCAAGTAACACGCTACGTCACTACGATGAAAATGATGAATATGTATATGTACCTGATTTACGATTAAAGGAACGGCTGAGAAATTGTCCACTCTTATAGGCGGCGGCATGGTATCGGCGTCGGTGAACACGATGAAATACGTAGTTTCCTGCAACACCACGTCCACTCGCAGAAAATGCATCTTTCCCGTTACATCTCTGACGTTGACGGTCAACGAATAATTATTGTCCAATTTAATACCGCCCGACCACATGCAGTCCGGAACATCGGTGATCCTGACGCAAAGCAACAGGTCTTTGTCAAGACGTGGCCAGTGAAACGGCATGTGACAGTCGGGCATAATCGTAATGTACGTCGCTTGAGCGTCCGGATGTGACTGTGAAAATGTGATTGTGAAAGTGATGAAAAGTTAAAAGGGCCGCTTCCGCTAGATATCATCGAACTCGCGTCGGGCGCGTCGTTCGACTTACCACGGTCGTCGTGAAACATTTCTGGGCTAGCTGCAAGGTATAAGATGACTTGTTGTGAAATTGGTATCTCGGCGATAGCGTGACCACCGTGGTGGCCCTGTACCTTCCTCTTGCCGCTCGAGTGGCCACGCTGATCAAGTAGACTATATCGGGTCTGCCATCGCGCAGACTGACTCTTAGGCGATGAACCTGCGAAACGTGCGGAACAACCGACGTTAGAGTAGAGATATTTGTGAGAGTCAATTCTCAACTAATTACATAGTATGTAATTAAACAGCTACTGTGTGTGTGTGTGTGTGTAATTGACAAATTATTGACAAATATAATAGTTTATACAACTCGGAAAGCTACACATCATATCAGACATGGGCTTCTGTCTGAAATATACTCACATGGATACCGGGTTGTAGATAAAAGTGTTGAGACCACTGCGGTATTCCCTGGGGATGCACGTCAGTACCGACTCTCACTGACACGGTTCTACTGGCCTCTTCGTCGCTAAACGAGAATAACAACGGCGCGATCATTCTCGCTTTCTCGTGCTCCTCAAATTGCCCAGCTGCCTCGATGCCCACACCTTCTTGCCTGAATACCAATGGTAGGCCGGTCTTGTTTATGATCCAATAAGGCGCGGTGATGTTAATCTGCACAGCCGAGCCCTTCTCGACAATCACGGCTGCTTGCAAATGGAGTATTCTGCTAGCGGAGTCCAACAGTTTGAGACGAGCGGTGAAGGAGCAGCTGTTTAACGGTAATATTATCTGAAAGATTTCGCACGCATTGATATTATTAATGAGAGACAGTAGAGTGATATGCCATTGGCAGCTTCCAACGTGACAAATTCCAACCGTTCCAGATCCCGGATAACCGTCCAGCTGAATGTTAATCTCCAGTTGCTCTTCTAAATTGGAAGAGTGCAGATCCGCGCTGCAGCCCGGCGAGACTCTACCGCCTTCTGCAGTCGCCTCGTACGTCAACTCGTACGGCAGGAGATTCGTTATCGTAATGGGAGCCATCACCGTGATTGTGTGTCCTGGCAATACTTGCGCACCGTCGACAGGATAGTTGTTTCGTCTCACCGCCACGCACATTCTACATCATGTGATATGGAATACGATTAATAACTTTGAGACATCAACAATCTCTCGCCAACGAGTGTCGTACCTGAATACGTTGTTCTGATTGGTTCGACATGTGATATGATTTTCCATCACTTCCATCGGTTTCTTCACCGCCGTCCAGTTTACCGATTCCGTGCAGTATTGGAACCGGCAGTTTGGGATGAACGGTTTAAAACACATCTGCACGCCGATGTGCGACAATGGCAAGGACGTGACCGACTGCGCCGGCAGTTGCATTTTCCCGATGTTGGCCGATGTCAATATTAAATCTAAAAGAGTAGTACAACTTGAGAATGTCGATCGTCGCCTGCGGAGAGAATGATGGACAAAACCCTACATCCAAATTGATTCAGCGATGTCTCCATCTTGATCTCAATCGCATGAGATAACTTGTTGGCCACCTGAAGAGCCGACCTAACGGTGACCAATTTCCTGGCGGATCCTTCCAGCTCTACGGTGAACACGAGTCTAGCCGTCGACGAGATAAACTGGAAATCGATGATACACAGGACAACAACGTGTTCAGACTCGTGTTCAGATTCAAGCCGGTCACGAGATCGACATTCTCACTTCGGATCTTACCTCGGATTCGGCAATGTCGGCGTGCCGAAAGTATATGCCGACGCGATCGACGGTTACGGGCTCCACCGGCTTCCATCCGTCGACCTGCACCACGATCTGATGTCTCCTGACGGTGTGTGTCGCGTGATGCCTCAGCTTTCCTCTCCCTTCGAACGTGAACGACGTCGTGTCACCGGGAACCACTTCTATCCACGTGCTGTCCTTATGAACGGAATTCCTCGCTTGAAAGCTCTTTCCAATATCCATCGTGTGGGTGGCATCGCCCACAGTGGCGATAATCGTTTTGAACCAAAGCTTGCAGCCGGTGTCGTTCTTCAGGGCGAACGGTACAAAGGGCGAACGGCGTCGATACACGCAAGTACCTCTCGTCGGCAATCTGCCAATGACTGAGACGGTCGGTCCGTTGGACAGATAATAATCCTGCGTCCAGTTGTGCTTGACCAGTTGCACGAGCTCGACCAAGGTCAGGGTGACGTTAACATTGACGGAATCCTGGGAATCGATGGTCACATACAGTATCTTGAGGTCGAGCGTGCCGGCAGTTACCTGCTCCCACTGAATGCTCGCGCGCCACGGCTCGATGAACGGCTCCCAGCCACTCAGCACCCGGTTGTAGTAATCCACGCCGAAGGTGGCCGACAGCATGCCGGGCTGTTGGTTCACCTGGCGCAGGCTAAAGTCCATCAGTGTGATCTCGAGCAGCGGCACGTCCGCGTCTCGACAGTCGTCTATAATGCAGATCCGTACGCAGGACGCCTGCAGCTCTACAGCACGGAAGACCGCGTCGTTGTTCGCGGCGACTTCGGAATTCGGTTCGGCGTTTTGCGTCAGCCACAGGGCAGCGTCGTCCAGCTGGCCGTCACAGTAATCGAGAGCGGTCCTGCAATCGACCTCGGTGAAGCCCAGAGTGGTCAGCTTCGACACCCGGCTGTCCACGTCACCGTCGACTTGGCTCGACTTGCGCCTTGCCCATGAAGTTTGCTTGGGGATGGAGCTGAGCATCCTGGAGAACATGGTCACGTCGTGGTAACTCAATCTCACGCACAACGGCTGCAGTTGGACCTCCAGGCACTTGTCCCGCGTGAGATCCAGACTCGCACCGACCGGATCGATGATCGACAAAGCGGTCTCGTTCTCCATGCCCAGAACGCACGAGAAAAGTTCGCAATGCGAGAGATTGCACGAGAGCGGCTTCTCGCCCTGCTGCGGCGTCGAGCGGTACGACAAGACGGCGGTGGTCTTCAGTATCACGGCGTTGGTGTCGAGCACCGAGGTGTCCTCGACGATCACCAGTTCCGAGCCGGTGATGTTGATCTTGAGTTCGATCGGCACGTGGCCGGTCGACGAGGCATCGCCATCGCCGCCGCCGCCGCCGTCAGTAGCCTCGGCCTCCTGGCAGACGATCGGCTGCGCGGCACCGGGCACAGGATCCGGTTCCGGCGAGTACAACAGCAGAAAATCTCGCACAGCCTCCCACCAGTCGAGGATGGCGGTCAGTCGCATGCTGTGTAGCAGTATGGTGGTTGCCGCGTGAGTCTTGCGCTTCCGATGATGCACCTCGGCTTGAACACGATCCTCCGCCGCTTTCGCCGCCGTGCTTTCGCCGGTGGTGGTCGTCAGTGGCTGCAGGATACGCGTGAACACGTTGCACTGACGATCGGCCGGCTCGTTTTGGAAACGGGTGTCCGTCACCAGTATCTCCCGCGACACCAGGTCAATGTCCTGCGAGCCGTCGCTCAACGAGTCCAGTGTCAGTCTCGACTTGATGAAGTTGATGCACGCTAGCGCTGCGATATTGTGGCTGGGGTGTAGCTTCACCGTCACATTCACCAGCTCGAGAGTGATGCAGGATCTGGTCCAAATGTCCAAAGCGCCGACATTGTCGCCGACACGGATCACGTACGCGGGGTCGACCGTGTGATTTAGATCCTGAGCGAGGAGACGCAGGTCATCCAGGTTCTCACCGATATTGTACGAAAGGAGGCCGCGGATCAGCATGTACTGCGCGGGATCGAGAGCGCAGTCCATCGTCGACAGTATACCGTGCACGCTCAGATCGGGTATCGCGCGGCTGATGTGGGTGTCGAGGTTTCGCTCGATGCGTAGCTTCAGATGACACTTCTCCGTGAGCAGCGATGAGCCCATCTTCCTGATGAGGAAACCGCCCACCCGTACGGCCCCCTCGTCGAGCCTCGTCGTGTCGTCGTCGTCGTCGTCGTCGTTGAGACAATCCGCGCACTTGAGTCGCCGCGCCGCGTACACGTCCATGTTGACCAGCTCGAGCAGCATGACCTCCAGCATGCAGTCTACCGCCAGCGCGGACGTGGTGTCGAATCGATTGTGCGCGGTGAGCTCGCCGAGATCGAGCAGTATCAACTCGTTCGAGCGGGAGCTGACCGGCAGGAGGATAACGGGCGCGCCGGCGTGCAGCTCCAGCGAGAGTCGCGTGCCGCGCTTGTTCGTGTCGAGGACGGCGCCGGCGCCGGCACGTAGGTTTCGCATGATGCACCACAGCTGCGAGAAGTGGCCGAAGAAGGTCTGCAGCTCCGCGACGAAACGCTGCGTGTGCACGTAATGCACCGCGGACATCTCCAGCTTGAGTCGCGCGTCGTGCGGTCTGTGCTCATGGTCAGCGTAGCTCGAGTACTGGAAGTTGAGCGCCTTCCTGCCGGATGTGAGGAATCTCTCCCGATAGAAAGTACCGTGCGGCGTCAGATCCAACAGCGACATCGAGCCCAACTGGCCGAGCACCTTGGTCTCACCGTTGGAGCGGAGCACGTACATACTGGCATTGGAGACGTTCGCCTTGGCGATCTCACGTTCCCGCTGTGTCAGCACCAACGTCAACGACCTCACCTCTATCTCGGTCTCTGAGCGTACCGGCAGTAGCAGATCCTCCGCCGCCACCGTCGCAGCCGTCGTCGTCGTCGTCGTCGTCATCGTCGTCGTTGTCGTCGTCGTCGCCGTCGCCGTCGCCGTCGCCGCTGCCGCTGCCGCTGCCGCCGCTGCCGCCGCTGCTGCTGCTGCCGCCGCCGCCGCTGCCGCCACCGCCTCCTTCGCGTCCTTGCTCGCGCGATCGCTGTCGGGCGAGGCGCGACGTGCGGCCGTCGAGCCGTCGTTGCCGTACGCCGTCGCCTCGGACAGGCCTGCAATCCCAAAGAAGTCAAACACCACCATCCACGACTCCACGCTTATCACTAGATCCAGGCAATTGAAGTCCACGGTTACCATTTTGCGATGGCACCGTTCTTCCTCCTGCCGCGCCGTGTCCGCCCCTGGCTGGCACATGGTGACGCTTATCAGCACGAGGTTCTCCTCGCTGGCGATCGCGCCCGGCGAGGGCGGCGGTGTGTTCGGCGTGCCGGCGGCCAACGGCGAGATCGGCTTTCGTCGCCAGTGCGCCGGGATCGTGCCGTAGAGCGTGTCGGTCTCCAGTCGGTCGGGTAAACTGCCGCGGCCGTACGTGCCGCCGTTCTTCAAGTGACGCGCGTAAGCGAGATCCGGACACGACTTGGACACGCCGGTAGGCAGCTTGGCGCGCGCCGGCGCCGACGATCGCATCATGAAGCGATGCCGCGATCCCACCGGGCACAGCAAGTCCTCCATAAGAAGGGAGCGCAGCGCTAACTGCACGCTCGACTCGTTTCGATGCAATTTCTCATACTTGACAACAAAGTCGCGCATTGACAGCTCCACGAGCGGCTGCTCCGAGTGCGCCCCGAGCTTCAGCTCCACGCTCAGGATCGGTAGCTCGAACGACACTCTGACGGATAAGTCCAGTCTGTCGTCATCGTCGTCAGCGGCGGCGGCGGCGGCGGCGGCGGCGGAGGAGGAAGAGTAGTAGCGGGAACCTGACAATCTCGACGCACCATCGAGATCGTCCGAACGGGGCGGCGGGTGCGTTGCCGCGCTCATCGGTATGGAGAACAATCGGTTGATCGTGTCGAGCAGTTGTTCATATTGGCCGCGCGATAGCGACACCTTCAGCGGCGTTATCACCGCACCGTGCACCTGCACGATCGGGTTGTTGGTGAAGTCGCCGTCTAACAGAAAACTCGTGCTTTGCGTCAACTTGTTCTCTCTCTCGACCAGTATCTTTAGCACCGTGTCGTGCAGTATCGGCTTACCCGACTCCTTGCACGAGTACATCTCTTCGGCCCTCATCGGCAAACTACTTGCAAGCTGGCCCGCGCCGTTCGCGGACACCTCGAGCGAATAGAGATTCATGTCGCGCACCTCCAATGTCACCCTGTTGCGTCTCGCTGCTAACGGGGCGCCAAGGTGCGGCTCGTGCTGCAGCGACATCGTGCCCAGGTGAGCTACAAACACCTGTCGGCTGTGCGAGGAACGCGGTATCACCAGTACCGGGCTCTCCAGCAGCACGTCGAGCCGCAGCGACGTCGCGCTCGCGCCCTCCAGGTCGTACGAGACGCTCGGTAGCCGTTTACGCGGCGGGATCGTCCAATCCTCGGCGTTCACCAAGCCGATCGCCATGTCGGTGGCGGCCGCGCCGATCTGCCGCGCAAAGTTGCTCAGGTACTGCTTGAACTCGTCGGCGCACGAGCGCAGCTCCGATATCAAGTGCGGCGCGTGCGTGTACCAGACACTGGCGACGCGTATAGTCAGGCCGATCACCGTCGTCTCGGCCGACAACACCGTCGGCTCGCCGACGGCCGGCCGCGCGGTGGTGCTGCGGCTGGCCGCGAAGCGGAACGCCTCCGGTTGATCCGACAGAGCGCCAAAGTGCTCCAGCGGGTAATGCGGCGGATCCGCAAGTGGGTCCCTGCCCACGCTCAGTATCCGCTGATGCGTCTTGCCGGTCAGCGTCTGGTCGAGTATCTGCACGCCGCCCAGACTCCCCGAAATAGAGGTGTCGACAGCTAGCGTCGCCTGTATGCGCGCGTCCGACATGGTCGCCGTGGCGATCTTCTGCCCTACCAGGCTGTCGCCCTGCATCACCGCGCGCAGCAGCAGCACGTTCAGGCGATGAAAGTCGAAAGTGATCTCCGTTCTCGTCGACGCCGTGTCTGCGCCCGTCTGCGCGCTCTGACTCGACAGGGAGTCGTATCTGTCGACGGTACGCGCCGATCTCGACCTAATCGGCAGGATCCTCTGAAAGAAGCCCATCAATTCCACTATCGTCTCCTGATTGGCTATGATGTCGAGATTGTTGAACTGTATATTAGCCATTCGCAGATTCTCCGCAGGATCGTCCACCAGGGTGAGCTCCACGACAATCAGCGCTTCCGAGTCCAGCTTTTCGGTGCCGACCATGACCAACGAATTGCTCCTGCGCGACGGAACCTTGCCTCTGTTCACCAGACTGGAGAGGGCGTCGGTCAGGGCGACGGGAGAGGTGAGTCGCGCCGGTTTCGCGGAATCGCCCGGCGACTCGGGCGGCGATTCCGGCGAGACCGGTGACGTCGGTTCCGAGTCCCTCAGACTGCCGGAAATACTGTCCATACCAACGTGCTTGTGACTGGCCATGAGTAGTTCGAAGTCCGGGCCCAGTATTTGAATCGCGTCTACCAGCAGCAACCCGTGGACGGAGAGAGAGATGCTCAAGTCCGCCATTCTCTTGCTGAGGGCCGCTCGCACGCCCGACACCTGCAGTTCCGCCACGCTGCGACCTCTCGACTGCAACTCGAACGTCATTTGATCGATGATGAACTGAACCATCACGGCGTGGCTCAACGAGCGATCCAGATTCTCCTCTTTGCGCGGGCTCTCGGGTGCCACGTTGCCGCAGGCACTTTCCGCAGGCGGAGCCGGAATGCCGGCCGAATTGGAGAAGTTTGACAGTAAGCAGTATATAAGACGCATCGCACCAACTTTATACTCGTTTACGTGCACCACCAGCCTCGGCAAGTTACCGGAAACCGTGACCGACGGAAAGTTCGGATCCGAAGTGACGAAGACTCGCCGCTCGATTTGCAGTGATATGTTGAAGCGTTCCAAAAGGTGCAACGTGGACATACCTCTGGTGCGCACGTATTTCCAATTGTCCTTGGCTCGAACCACCAGGATTTGCAGGTCCACCAGGTCAATCGAATACTGATCGTACAATTTCTTGTGCAATTCCGTCTCGGACAGGCCTTGAAAGTCGTGCAGCGAACCGTTCTCCTGACTGCCGGGCGGAGTGGAGCACGGCGTTTCGAATCTCTCCTCCTCCTCCTCCTCCTCCTCCTCCTCCTCCTTCTCCTCCTCCTCCGTCTTCTTCCTTTTCCTCTTCTTCTCCTCGTCTCTCTTCCTCTTCTGCCCCCCCTCTTCCTCCTCCTCTTCCTTCTCCTCCTCGTCGCTGTTGGTCGATTCAGTTCTTAGCGTCACCCGATGCAGGTTCGCGTCGTTCGACAGGTGCAACTTGCCGAGATCGACTATGACGATAGCTGCGTTGCTATCGACGAAGCTCTCCACCAGCAAGATCTGCGGCGCCGAAATTTTGAACTGTAGATCCCACGAGGAACGATACACAAAGTCACCGTCCAATATCTGCTCCCAATTCTTCATCAGTTGCTTCCTCGTGCGGCGCTTCATCGCCTGCAGTCGCTGATTGGACGACGATCGGAGCGGCTTGCACATAAAATCAATCAGCCAGTATATCACCGTGGGATTGTAAACGACATCCAGGGACTTGGAGTAAACATGCAGCAGGTGATCCGTATTGACGTGCAACGGCTTCTTCTCGTACATCAGTTCGAACAGATGCAACGGCGGCTGTTTCTTTGGCTGTTTCTCCGATGAGCTGCGCGCGCGTATAGATTGCGTCGCGCTAGACGCGACCTGAGGCTGCACCAGGATGGGAAACGTGGAGTTTTCCGTAAGAAAATCACGAAGGTACAACGCGCCCAGACTGATTGAGAATTTGTGCGATCCGAACCTGGGTCGTGACTCGTAACTCAAATTAACTCTCTCGAATTTCAGCTCTATCACGGTCTTGGTGCCGTCGCTGCCGTTTCGCTCGGTGCACAACGATATCGCACCTTGCACCAGAGCGAAATTAAACTGTCCGAATACCGTGTCGCGACGCAACAGCGTGTCATCGTCCACGGTGTCCGCCAGCACGTCCAGAAGCTCGCCGTCGAAAGTGGTCGAAGAGACGTTTTGCGTGAGGTTACTGTGAGGCGTCTTCGAGTACCAGCCCCACCATTGCGGAAACCACTGTTCGAGCATGCCGCGTCCCTGCGGCACTTTCTCGTCAGTCTGCTGCTGCGACTTGGCGGGTCTTGTTTTGTACATAGCCAGCTCCCTCAGTACTCTCAGCTCGTCGAAACTCCGCTCGCACTCGACCTTCTCTTTCAGTCTTTTAGTTTCCGCCGGTAAAGTCGACGTGGGTGTACCTGCGAAAGCAACGACACACAGACTCGAGATCAGGATCGCCGTATCGCCTTGAGCGAGAGCGAGAGGCCCTCGCTCGGCCTCGCTGCCGCAGAATACACGGGAAGGAATTCGTTCATTTTGTCATTTGTACCTAACAATTTGGCATACGCTTGGACGTAAAGAACATTCTCTCTGGCCCGGTGAAGCACAGTCCTCCAGTTCGGTCTGGGCTTGAGGGTCTCTCTGCCGAGATGGCACCGAGCGGCGTATCTCCACCATTCCGTGCAATTCTCCGTCACAGATAGCCTGGGCCTACATCGCCACTGCTGCTTACGACGATCTATCCGTTCGAGCTCCTTGATACATTTGACCATCTCCTCGTATTGAACCTAATCGCCATGACAATACATTATATTCCGCGCGTATTATTTACCGACCGATCGCGCTCGACGCCGCGCCAGACCGATTGCACTCACGTCTGTTACGGATAACGGTACTTCGTCCAGAAGTAAATCTACCACGATACGCGGTTTATTGATCGATCTCAACGGACGTTCAGTCCGGTCTCTTTTAATGTGCGCTCTTGCGTTCACGGGTGACAGGATGTGATTTTTCGTACCGTTTCTCAATTTGCTCATAGCAATCTGAAAATTCCATCTCACAATAAAACACCACATCCCGAAATACCGATGCATTGAGATGCATAGAGAATGGGTGTGCATTGCATCGCGGAACTCTACTGTATCCATACTTACAGCTAAATCGCCAAGATTCAGGCCACTGAAGAGGTTGCCCTTCTTTACGTGGTTCCAGTAAATCGCAAGACTGTCGAGCTCCATCAGTTTGAAAGAGGCGTCTGTCAAGTTCCAAGATGTAGAGCCGGGTATCCAAGTGGCGTCACAACTCTGAGCGGTAAGCGCTCCGATTGTAATACCAAATGCGACACCATTATCTATATATACATAAAAGACCAAAAGTCTCTTTTTGACAGTCTTACACTGACGATGCGACACTTATGATGTATATAAAAAGACACATGTATATTCGTACACACGCGTAAGAAATTACGCTCGAATTGTATCGATATATATCCTTAAGAAACTGCAATTTTATAGAGATGCTTACCACCGGGTAGTGTAACACCATCTTCATACCTAATGTGGACATCTTTGATATTCAACTGTAAATTTTCAATTATATTTGTCACTAGAGATGTGCCATAGTTTATCCATGAGCTGTAACTTGTCGCATAGTAACCAGGATCATGGTCCACATCGGCTCTCCATCTTGCCTCCAAGGCATCCAATCTGTTAAGCTTGTACTCTAGTATTGCTTGTTCCTCCGCCTCATTGTCATACTGCAGCAAATTGTATTCTCTCAAGTGTGTGTAAAATATCATTTGTTTGCAGTTTCTACTGATAAGTGTCTATATCAGAAGATGTGCACGCGCGCATAATGCATCAAGACACTGACAACTATCTGCAATAAATTTCTAAACCAGAAAACTCTACCTCGTCCAGATTAATTGGACCTGCTACCAAATAGAGCTGCTCCATACCTATTACCCATGACGCGGTTCTTATTTGTCTGACTGGCACTTGCAATCTAATTTTACCGATAAATCCAGCCTTGATTTCTACTGGTAATCCAATGTGACGTAGTGCTTCTCGTTTCAACGGTAAATTCTCTAGCTCGACTTCCCCTGGTAAGAATACAATCTTGTTTCTTTTCAGATATCAAGTGAAATTATCGCTTGATTTTATAAAGGAAGGAACGGAAAAGAAAACCGGCGTATGACAAATTTCTTTATAATGAGAGGAAGGACAAATCAAACGACAAATTAATATGCCCGATCATGTACAGTAAATTGGCTCGTAGAAATTGTCATATTAAGTACAACGACACAATAGGGAAAGTTTGCGCCATTATTCATTTGTTACATCTTACGAGGTACATAACAAGTTAAAAACACTCTCTCTCTCTCTCTCTCACTCCTGCGGGAGACTAAATGCGTAGCAGCACATAACCTCACCTGATAACAAAGCGATACTCAGCTGATCCGTATTCAAATTTTCCACATATTTCCCAAGATAATTATTCAGCACCCAAGCTACTAGTCCCTCCAACATTTTAGCCAATCAAATGTAATCTCTCGTAACTGATTAAACGACAATGCCTGTACGGATAGAACAAGTAAACTTGTAGGTTATACGCCCTTCGATGTTTCATTCGAATTCTTGAAATCTACGAGATAACAGCGCATGAGATAATACGTGTCGATAGACTGTATTCAACTTTCACGGAATTAACATCTTTTATGTCTCGACTATCGTTGCATTTCTCATTAAACGTTAATAGCGTACCATTAGCATCAACATCCATTTTAGATAACGGTTCCACCACAACTGGCCAACCACTGTCGAAATGCAGCAGCGTCGTTCGATGAGAAAAAAACAAAGCGAAAGCTTCGAAAATCGATCGATTATAAAGAACATCGACATTTATCGATAATCGATTATAGTCTCGGACTATAATCGAGAGGAGGACGATCGATCCTGTTTTTTTTTTTGGAAGAAAGAATCAATTTCGATCGGTCGTGCAACATCGCCCCCCATCTCCATCTCGACGTATCACATAAACGGGGCAATCGCCGCGTGCGATCGAATTTTATTCGCTGGCGGTACTACGAAAGAGACTATAGCATACGTGACACAAACTATATAATTTCGATACCGACAGTGAATATCAGAACGCACAGAGGACAGAGAATAATTGCAATGTGGCAGCTACGTCAAAAAGGAGCTTCTAACCTGATTCTCCGCGTCGCCGAAAAGAGTTCTCACTGAAAAGCAACGCTATGTCCTAGTAGTAAAATTCAATTTTCGCACAACATACCGAAGAAACGCGCGTGTATCAATAGCTATGTCTAGATGCAGTGGACAAAAATGAACGTACCGTTGATCACGTTTGAAATTTTCTATTTTCTGAGCGTATTTAGATTTTCCCAAGCGTGGGACAACGACGAATTGGAGGTGTTCGATGTGGTCGAGGAGGTCAATCAAAATTTCTACGAAGTGCTGGGTGTTACGCAGGTACATTTTCCGCAGTATATAACATACTTAGACGTAAAACGTTTGGCGAAAGTACAACATGTGCAACGATGCGTATATTTTTTACAATTAACATTTAACAAACCATTTTTTTCCTCTTAGTCTGCGAACGCCTCCGAGATCAAGAAAGCTTTCAGACGTCTGTCGTTGCAGTTGCACCCAGACAAAAACTCTGCAGAGGATGCAGAACAACAATTTAGAAAGGTAGATTAGAGGAGAAGAAAAGGGGCGGGGGGGCCCGGAGGGGCGAAAGATATGGAAATTATTGAAATTGGTAGTTTACCGTACTTTTGCCTTGCAGCTAGTTGCCGTTTATGATATTTTGAAGGATCCTGGAAAGAGGCAACGATATGACAATGTGCTGGTCAATGGTTTGCCAAATTGGCGATCAGCGGTGTATTATTACCGCCATGTGCGGAAAATGGGACTATTGGAGATGAGTGTCATTTTGTTTACAGTTATTACAATAGGACAGTATCTTGTAGCATGGGCGGCGTACTTTGAAAAACGATACACTTATGTAAGTGCCAATTTTGTGCCTTTGGAGTTATTGCCTCTTATGTAAAGATCATGTATATGTATAAATATATGTACATATATATATATATATATATATATATGTTGTGTTGCAATTGCAGGAGCAAGTTTTAGGTAGCAAGCTTCAGAAAATGCAAAAGAAAAGTAGAAAGAGCAAAATGGATGTCCCAGACTTGGCTGACATCTTGGAAAAAATTCCCACTCCAACTATATGGAACACTCTTCCGTTCCAATTGCCAAGGTGGCTGATAGGTTCCATAATAGCTATACCATCTACTATTCGCCTTACGATGCAACTGTTGAAAGATAGACAGGAAAGGAAGAAGCAAGAGGAGGAAGAGGCATCGTGAGTACAGCAGTTTCTCATACATTGCGACTTGTTTGACTCGGACATGACATGAGAGAAAGTAAGAATAATAATAGATTCAACAACATTATTCTAGAGCGCAAGAGAACGAGCAATCTGAGCCGGAAGTAGTGTCGCGTGGAGTTAGGAAACGTAGGGCTGGTTTTACTCCGCAGGAAAGAAGCGGTAGTACTATTAAAGAGTCGATAAAGAAGGACTGTGATTACACGAATCATGTGTGCGAAAAGCCGACGCTGTCGGGTGGCTTATGGACTGACAGTGACATATTAGAACTAATAAAGTATGTAAAGAAGTATCCTGGCGGAACTCCGGAGCGATGGGAGAAAATTGCGACTATTATGAATCGTACTGTCGCAGAAGTTACGCATATGGCTAAAAAGGTTGTTTTCGTTAACTGTGCGTTTTTCTTGAGAATATTTTATACTGAGAGAACGTCTTGCTCACTGACATTTGTGTGTATTTGATCTTGTTAGATAAAAGACGAAGGCTTAAAGCCTGGCGAGCCAGCGGAGGAGATTCTTGCGGAAGAGAGACCAAAGAAGATTAAGACCCGCATTGAAAATACCGCGAACACCGCTGAATGGAGTCAAGAACAACAACGTGCGTTAGAGGCGGCTCTAACGAAATACCCTAAAGGTGCTTCTGTAGATAGGTGGGAAAAGATTGCAAATTGCATCGAAGGGAAGACAAAGGTATGACATTACTTGCAGAGAGTACCTGTTTTGAGTCGACATTGAAACGCGGTCTATTGAAATGAATTCTACCTGTATTTTACCTGCCGTAACTCTTGCAATTGTTGCCTACAGGATGAATGCCAAGCGCGCTACAGGCAATTGGTGGAGCTAGTGAAGAAGAAGCAACAAACTTCATAGTTCAACTTGTATAGAATACTGTTTTCTCCCCTTTTTTCTTTCTTTTTTCCCCCGGGGATATACTTTATATCGTCGAGCCAAGAAATAGTATTACTGGACTATATGAGAGAAAGGAAAGAAAGATAATATTTCTCTTTCTCTCAGTGAATCATATTACAAGCGAGAAATTTCATACGAAAGTGAACAGTGACATTTGCTGATTGCAAGATGTACGAGTTTGTCTTTCTTGAAAAATTACCTATATAAATTTCCTACGCAGATTCTTTTATATACAAGAAATATTTCAATCGTGTTTCGCGTTGTATGTGCGTGTATGCGTTCGTGAACAATCGACTTTATTATCGACAGTGCAATGGTAAATCTAACGATGGGAAAGATGGAGAGAGAGAGAGAGAGAGGGGGGGGAGGGGAGGAAAGGAGAGTATCGAGAGTAAAGGGAAAATGAATGTTTTTCCGTGTCATCTTATTAAATGTTTATCGAGAATGTATTTATTTAATAAATTTAATAATCCATCAAGAGGGAAAAAAAGACTGAAAACTTACAATCTCAAATCTGTCCTCTTTTTTCTAAAAGACTGAATTTGAAATGAAGACTATTAGAATTTATATCGTATAAACTTTACCAAAGCAGGTACTAATATACACATACACACACACACACACACACACACACACACACACACACACATATATCAACAAATACCGGAGGTATAATGTAACGTGAGTCGATACTTTTATGACCTGTATATTTACAGAATATTTACAAGTATATACACGTAGCTGTCTGTAAATAATGCTCGTCTTACAACTGCATTCTTGCATCCTTGTATATAATTCAATAGTTGCATACATTTCATCACTTTCTATAATGTCTGTTTACAGTTTATAACAATAATAAAATATCGATCGATATCTTGGCAAACATTACAGATTGTTTTCGTTACTTGTTTCCTAATGATGAAGCGAGATGATACTTTTCACACGCATCGAAACTACTTTCGTTTGTTACATGCTACACATGCGAAATGAAAGTATCTTTCATTCAGTTCCATCAGCTCTTGTCATTGTTGATCTTTCTTTTTGTGTCATCGCACGAAAGAAAAATCGGAAATGCCATTTCGAATCATTCAGAATTTTTTGAAGCTTTCGCAGATACGTGTATGATGATATTTTGGAATGAAAAAGATAGAAAAACACGTCACATGTAGTATGTACACGCGCGCACATGCGCGAAACTGACGAAACAACCTTTACAATAATGTGTACTCGCGAATTGCGTAATCGCAATGTCATTCAATTGCGTCTCCTACGAACTCGGGATATCCTCCAAGCATTCGGCTCCTCGTACTTGTTATAAAGTGGCTCCAGTCTCTGATTCTTCTTAAACTTGCTGAGCTTGGTGGGATCGCTAAATTTGAAGAACGCCGGCGCAAACTCCACCAGCCACTTGGGGTCGATGGTCGTCACCTCCCTCATGTACTCCTTGGTGGTCTGCACTAGCTCGTGATAGATGACCCACTCCGGCTGGCGATTGAACAACGCGCTACTCGGATGAATGTAAACAACTTGGCTGTCCACCAGCGTTCTGTATCCCTCTTGCGGGTCCTTCTTCGCGGCGTTCCTAAAGAAGCCAGAGCACACCGCTTTCTGTATTCGCACCGTGTTCTTCCCCGCCGACACCACGTCCAATTTGTGCCGGTCCATTATGCCCAGCAGCTGCTTGCGCACGTCCTGGGCGCGCTTCAGTGTCCTGATCTGCACAAAGTTCTCGTAGCACCAGGCGTTGCTCAGTTTGTTATTCTTCCACGAGTTATAGACAGCCAGCAGAGTCAAGTGATCACCCTCGGCCTGATTGAACTTGGCCTTCTTCTGATCGGCCAGAGCCTGCTTGTCCTTGGGTCTGTAGAAAACGTTCTGCACGGACAGCATGCTGACGATGGTGAGAATCTCGTCGGAGCACTGCAGGTGCACGCTCATGATCAGCATCTTGGAGAGGTTCGGCTCCAGCGGGAACTCGGCCATTCGCCGGCCCAGCCGCGTCAGCAGACCCTCGTTGTCCAGGGCGCTCAGGCTGTGCAGCGACTCCAGCGCCATGATGAGCGACTCCACCGGCGGTGCGTCCATGAAGTCAAAGTGCAGCAGATCGTTGATGCCCATGGTCTTGAGCTGCAGCACCGTCGTGGCCAGATTCGTGCGCTGAATCTCCGGCACCGGCGTGGGCAGCATCTCGTCGCGATACGCCCGTTCCGTGTAGAGCCGATAGCACTTACCGGGCCCGGTCCTGCCAGCCCTGCCGGCGCGCTGCTTCGCCGCCGCCTGGCTGATCGGCGTCACGATCAGACTGTCCATGCCGGTCTTGGAGTTGTAGACCTTCTGCTTGACGAAGCCCGGATCTACCACGTAGTAGATACCGTCGATCGTCAGGCTGGTCTCGGCGATGTTCGTGGCGATGACGACCTTGCGCGAGCCGGGCGGCGCCGGCTCGAATATCCTCGTCTGCATCTCCGAGGGCAGCGCCGAGTAGACCGGCAGGATAATCAGCTCCGGCACGTCCGGGCCCAGCGACTTCATGCGCTCGTAGAGTATCTCGCAGGCGGTGTCGATCTCCTCCTGGCCGGTGAGGAACAGCAGTATGTCGCCCGGCGGCTCGCGCAGGTGGATCTGCATGACGGTGATGAGCGCGGCGTCCAGGTAGTCCGTCTCCGGCTCCTTCGTGTACATCACCTCGACCTCGAAGGTACGACCAGGTATGGTGAATATCGGCGCCTCGAAGAAGTACTGCGAGAACTTGACGGCGTCCAGGGTGGCGCTAGTGACGATCAGCTTGAGGTCGGGCCGTCGGCCGACCGCCTGCTTCAGCAGGCCGAACAGCACGTCAGTGTGGATCGTACGTTCGTGCGCCTCGTCCAGCATGATCACCGAGTACGTCTTCAGGTCGAGGTCCATCAGGCACTCGCGCAGCAGCATACCGTCGGTCATGTACTTGATGTTGGTCTCCGGCCCGGTGCAGTCCTCGAAACGGATGGTATAGCCGACCTCCTGGCCCAGGCAGCAGCCGAACTCCTCGGCCACGCGCTTCGCCACGCTCATCGCCGCCACTCGCCTCGGTTGCGTGCAGCCGATTTTACCGCGCGCCGTGAAGCCCGCCTCCGCCAGGTACTGCGTGATCTGCGTGGTCTTGCCCGAGCCGGTCTCGCCGATAACGATCAGTATCTGATTGTCCGTCACGGCCTTCACGAGGTCGTCGCGCAGCTTGTAGATCGGCAGGCTCTGCCGTTGCTCCAGAAGGGTCAGATTGGTCTTTTTGCCGAACGACGACTTCTTGCCGCCTATCACGTGCTTCTTCCACTCGGGCAGGTCCTGCGTCTGCAGCCCGATGCCGCGCATGTTCGCCGCCAGGGTTCTGCTCTCCGCCTCCGGTAACGGGTCTATCCAATTCTTGTTCAATCCGGTGGGCACGGAGTCCATCTCCTGTTCGCGTTGCAGCATCTTCTGCTCCCTACGCTCCTTCGCCAGGGCGCTCTGCATCATCGCCGCCTGCGCCAGCGAGCCGTCCGGATTCTTTACGATGCGCACGGGACTGAGGTCTCCCAGCGCTCTCCCATGGCCGTGCAGAAACGGCGGTTCTTCCTCCACCAGCTCGATCTCCACGTCCTCCTCCTCGTCGTCCTCGCGCGGCAGGACGCCCGTCTCTGTGTCGAACTCCGGCAGCTCGCTCCTATCGATGCACGACGCCGCCAGCATCTGCTTGATCTCCCACTTCTCCGGCGACGACAGTCGTTGCACGCGTTTGCGCGAATACGTCTCGTCCTCGTCGTAGTTGCCCTGCAGCTCCAACAGTGACGCAGGCCGGTCCGGATTGCGCAGGTGCTTCTCGTCCTCCTCGGCCTTGGCGACGGCCGCCGCCGCCGCTGCCGCCGCCGCCGCTGCCGCCGCCGCCACGGGATTCAGATCCCTGCCGGTCTCCTGGTCCACATCCTTCATGCTCAGCGACACCTTCTGCCCGCCGATACTGAGGACCTTCACGAGGACCCGCTGCCCTCTGGAGACTACGTCGCTCGCGTTAGCCACGCGACCCTCTCTTCTCAACTGGGAGATGTGCACCAGGCCCTCCAGCCTGCGTCTCAGACCCTCCAGCGACACGAAACAGCCAAACGGCACGATGTTCGCCACCTTGCCCGCATAAATCTTACCCACCTCTGGCTCCATAGACAGCTCCTCCATGGATCTCGATCTTCGGCCACGCTCGCCGTCGTCGAGTTTCCTCCTCGTGTACCTACCGCCCCCGTCCCTGCGATCGCGCGACAACGATCTTCGGAGCTCTCGCGATCTGCAGGATCTTCCGCGCGTACGATCTCTGGATCGGTGACGAGGACGGGATCTAGAACGCGATCTGGATCGGTGCCGTCTCTCCTTGCGTCTCCTTCTGTCGCGCGGCGATCTGCTTCTGCTTCTGCTTCTGCTTCTGCTTCTGCTCCTGCTCCTGCTGCGACTCCTTCTCGCGCGTTTGCTCCTCTTTTCGCTATTGCCGCTGCTCCCGTTGTTGTTGCTCCTGTCGTTGCTCGCGACTCTTGCTTGCTTCTTTTTGCTCGACGGCGCGAACGCCTCCAGCGAAGCCATCACGTCATTAACGACGTCCTCATCGTTGGTATCTTTAGCACCACTAGGGCGCTGCGTATCCTCGTTCGGCAGTGCTAACGCGGGAAATCTTAGCGCCAGCTCATCCTTACTCATGGGATTACTCATGGGATTAGATGACTCACCGGCGGAAATTCTGGCAGGTTTCATATGCTGTATTATCCTCAGGAGATTAGCCATAAAAGAATCCGAAAACTCTGCTCCATTCTCGATCAGTACCTTCTTGAACGTCGGGAATGTGTTGTTCTTCTCGGCCAAATGAATAATGAATTCGGCCAAGTCTTTGTCGTTCAGACCCAGATGATTCTCCAGTTCCGTGCAAATTTTCGACACCAGAGACAGATGTTCCAGCTTTCCAACTTCCTCCATTATTGTAGACGACGACAATCGACAATTTTCGATCGTACGACACCGATGTGTACGCGTAATCTTGTATAACCTTACTGCGGTAAGGTTCTGTTTATCGCGCTCTCACTCCCTTGCACTCTTGTGTACGCACGCTGCCTTGAACGACGCCTTGAATAGAAATGAAGAGGAAACCAAGAGAAAAAGAAGAAACGAAAAGACGGATATCGCGCCATCTACTCAGCTTCACTCTACTCAGATATAGCGCCAGCTATGTGTTTCCGTCCACTTGCCTCAATTCGATGGCAAGATTCGGTCGCTCGATCGATAAACGACGCGAATCCTATCGCGCGTTGCTCGCGTGTTGTGTATTATTGGTCTGTTCTTTTTAGCTGCACTGCACAACTAGTATAATAAGGTTAGAAATATGAGATAACTATATTTTTTCTCACTTCAACTTATCGCACCAGTTCAGTAGTGCGGCTAAAAAGAACAGACCACATATGACGAGATGAGAGAAACGGGCGTTTGAATCTCTGGCCAATTTAAAATTTTTAACCTAATCTAACCGAACGCACACAAAGTGTGCGATACTGAGTACGATTGTGGAACGAGAATTTGATCGACTTCACAGTTCACATTAAGGAGGATCTCATCGAGTTCATTTCAAGATGCAAACCATCGGTGATCGAGAGATAGACGAGTCCAAAGAACCCGTCAGGTCGGACGACAATAACACGTTTGAGGTAGTTCGAATAGGTTTGCGTGAAGCTGCTCTAACGAAGAGAAAGAAGGATCGTATCTCTGCCTGGAATAAGAATCGTACAGGCTTAGGGGAATCTATCGAGAATGCATTCTTCCCGATTGATTACGTCAATGAAAGAGCGAGGTTTCTCAAGAGGAAAAGAATATCCCTCGAGGACTACAGATATTTGCCCAACGCCCTTATTCAGGTACATTCTACGGATACCAATCAATATAAGTAATTAACTAAACACAATATAAGTAATTAGCTAAACACAACAAATTTCGCTTGCGTATTATACGCAGGATCGCCATCATGTTTGTAGCTGGTGGACCTTAAAGCTAAGTGAGTAACAAATTGATATGTAACGTTACTCGCAATTTCTCGTACATTTTTTTCAGCGTGAGGAGAATATCGATTCCTTCTTAAATGTAGATCAAAGCTTGTCGGGCTTGATACGTGATCTTTCCGGCAACAATCCAGTCCTCCAGTTATACGCAGCAAATTGCTGCTGCAACATTGCGCTTGGAAATGTAAAAGCCTGTACAGCATTAGGGAAAGCTGTCATTCCATATTTGCTCACTGAGCTGGAAAGCTTAAACTATGCATTGCTGGTGAGCTGTCGTCGAGTGACACTGAGTCGAATTGCTTACAAACGAATTGTTTCAGAGTTTTAACTTTTAGTTTATTAGGACGTGTGTATCTGGACAATTGGCAACTTAATCGCAGGAAGCGGCAGAGCTTTCTCTATTCTACATGCGCAACATTGTCTGAAACACTTGATTTTATTATTAAACAATTGTGACAATGCAATTTATCCCTCTGTAATATATGCAGTTTTACATTATGTATACATAGGATTTCACGACATATCGTAAGTAATGTATTCTCAGTCATTCTGTATTCAAGTCAACGACACAAATGCAAGAGATGAAGCTTACAAGTAGGTAGTCTAACGTATCTTTAATATTCATAGAGACAACGAAATGTCAGAGCTTGTCCAAGCTACTGTAAAACGGAGTCTTCTGTATAAGGATTCAAATTTTGTTTGGCTGTTAGCCCTCTTATCTTCCTCGACTGTATTCGCCGTACATCCGCATTTCTTAGACTCGTCTATTTTGTCACAAGTTGTTGATTATCTTCATCACTCTGGCTCGGATGAGACAGCTGATGTCAACGAGGTTGTTATCCGCGCGACAAAAGTACAAGATGCTTTTTCGATATAATTTTGAAATATTATTTCAGTTCTTTTCGTCGTTTTTTTTTAGATCACAGCATCCATACGTATACTGGCCAATGCGTTGTGTAACTCTTACGAGGATAAAATAGACATTCTTCTGAGAAATCCAAAATATTCGCAGGAAGATCTCTGTGCTTTATTCGACAAGTTATTGTCACATCGATATGTACATATCAGAAAGGAAGCTTTGTGGTTAATAGGTACATGCCATTCCTTTTCTTTCTCCTTCGCTTTTTTGGCAAGATGTCGAAAAGAAATCTATCTGTTTTTGCAGGAAATTTGTACAATCACCGATTATCCCGCATTGGTCAAAGTATAAAAGATATCGTACCTTTTTCGTCGTCGTTAGATCAGGCTATCTTGTCAATTGGAAACTACGTGTGAAGTAAGAGAGATGTGTAAGATATATCTTCTTTAACATGGTACACTATGCTCATAAAATTACAATTCATAAAAGTGCCTATTGCATGGTATATAAATTTTACGTATAAATGCAGTATAAATGCAGTATAAATGCATTGTATAAATATTGTACCCTTCGATTTTTGTAATATCTAATTTCGTTGGACGGCTGCAAACTTTTGTGAATATAACCGCGCTGGTTTCATATATCAAGCGACACTGTAACAACTAATATTCTCTCTTCACAGGTACAAATTTTTTTAACGGTTCCGAGGGGATGTGTTGATTTGTCTGCATGTCTTCTATGCACTCTACCTTGATGATATTGAAATATATTTGTCCCAATAGATTTGCGGTTGGATGATTGGCAGCCTTCAAGCACCGATAAAGCCCCTTGTCGCAAGTACAATGCGACCTGTTAATGATAAAACGTTTGAGTCTGAACGCGCGTTATAGCGAGTAGTAGCTCCGAAATCCTCCATTTATTTCGATAGAGGTGATATTGGCAAACTTATGTTGATTGGGTATGTGATTGATAAAAATATTAAAATAAAAATTCTTGAACAGTGCGACTTGGTCGCAAAATATATACTGTGCTGAGAACACTCTTTTTCACTCTCAGATCGGAGCGAAGCAAAGTGCGATTTATTTATTTTGAAATTCTAAAAATGAGCACATACTTGGTATATAAGGAATAATTCGTGAGGTTGTATCGAGTCTGTTGAGCACGGATCTTTACGGGACAAAGGTCATGGGTGCGACAGCATCTGGAAAACAGATTTGTATTCAACGATCATTTCACAAATTTCCGAAAAGCAATCGTCTCTCTTTTTCTCGCTCTCCTCCCCTTCTCTCAATAATGAGAGCAATACCTGTCGACATAAGGTACGTCGCCCAAGTCGTGATAACTTTCAGCTATGTCACCGGTACCGCACCATTTTGTTCCTAAAATGTGGATCGAATACGATTTCATTGGTAAGTTTCGCGATAAATCGCTTGCACGATGAAAAATGCAAGCTCGTGGTCGTGGTCGCCGCGAAAACGCCTTGATTGATGACATCAGAAGCGTCAGGAAATGCACATTTAAAATTCGTGTTGTTTCCAAATAAAAGAAGGATAACTGATTAATGAAAGAATACTTTCGGTCGTTAGGACACACTTGTAAAATGCTTTGAACGCTATCTTTCTTCTTTAATAGGTCACTTTAACGGTCACTCTTGTTGCAAACATTTTATGATTGTTGATTAGATATTAAGGGAGAAGAACGTAGTGTTCTTGTTCCGGGGCAAGTTTTACAAGTATGCTCTAGCGATCACAAGTATTCTCTCAAGTAATATCCTTCTATTTGGAAACGGCACATGAGAATTTTCCGCGTGTCATTTCTCGCTGCGACGTCACTATACAACATAGTCGCGGCGAGCACCCGGCAGAAGCCCTAATACAAACAACTGACCCGGCAGAATGCCAGAGAGCAATGTAATGGAACTTGCGGCTATACGTGTTCCTCTGCTCAGTACGTTTGTGGGCGAAGTGGACGTGGTTTCCACTCGAATGCTATCTAACAGTTCGCATTGTTGCATGAGTCTTGTAATCTCTTGAAAGGACACCACTTGTGGATGTAAAGTCACAGACAAGTTCCGTATAACTTCGGCAGCCTCTGACGGTTCGCTGAAAGAGTGTCAGCGATACGTGTCAGGATAGCGTGTCAAGAGGATACAAGAGGAGAAAAAGTATGAAATGCTCCGAAAAAAAAGTGATCTTTCATATTTGAAGCTTTTCGAAAGACTCGTACGTATGGAGCAAATACTTACTATACTTCGATGATATTGCAGTCGTGCAATACATTCCTCGGGCCGAGGTCTACCACTGCTACTGTCTGTTCGTAATAATAAACTGCTCTTATCTCGTTATCCGCGAGCACGCTAATGCCCGAGGTAAGGCCGTTTAATCCTTTGAACGTGCTTTTGAAAAATGTTGGTTGCTGCGCAGTTAAGCCGCACGCCGACACGACAAGAAGGCACGTCCGTATGTTTATCGAATACATTTTATCGCTTCAAATATCGATCCCGCCGATCGCCATTACCTTAATTTTACACTTTCCCCAACTCGTTCGTGCTGCTTCAAAATTCCTTTCGCGCGACATGCAAGCACCGATGCCGTATATCGAACAGCATCCTCCACGCTTATTTACTACTACACTTACGTACTATGTCACTTTGGAGAAGATTCTAAGACTGCACGAGAAACATTATATTATCATCATCATCATCATCATCATTCTTCTCAATCCCTCGCCTCGCCACATTGATTCTGTTCGTTCTATCGTTTTGCCAAATTTCGAACTCCAGGAATTCCAGCGAAAACTTACTTCGGGATGTTGTGTTCGAATTTTAACGTAACTTACGTGACTTACGAAACACGCAGATATCTTTGAATATTTTTCACTTTACGCGAAGAGCTATAGCAGGAAGGAACGAGCTACCTTTTTATTGACTCACCGACATCACCGCGTCACACCGAATCGATTGGATTTTTTGCGAGAACGACGCCGTTTAGCAGATACTTTATATACAATTACAGTAGACGCGCATAGACCGTCACGGACAGGGTTGGCTGGACTGACCGATCGAATGGTGAGCGATGATGCGACACCCGCGCGTACCCTTCCCTTTCCCTCGATCGTCAAGTATCAGTACCTAGTGCCAGCGACACACCGGTGGGGAGACCCACATTCGCGGGGACTAGGACGAAGAAAGTGGGACGAAATGGTGTGGTGTATGACTGTCCGAATAGTTGGACAAATTCACGGAGTCCTGTGTGCCTTTGGAGAGCACCGCGAAAAGAGGGGAGCGGAGCAAGGAGAAGAAACGACTTTTCGTCGATTTAGCAAAGGTCATCCAGGATTAACGTTTCTAAATCCAATCTGTATATTTTGTGGATTTATCTAGAAAAAAGAAAAAGCATTGTACACGAGATTGTACTGTCTGTAGTGCCAGTAAATGAGCCACCGTTTTAGCGCCGTTAGAAGCGGCGGCACAATCTACTCTTGCGTGTGTAAAACGTAAAATATGTCTCACGTTGTGCGTTACGTACCACGTGGAGCGTTAAATTTCTCTCGATGGAGAAAGAGCTTCTCGACACTATTTATACAACGTATTTTCACTTTCATACGCGGTATCGCGAAATTTCGCCCGCGGCTAATAACGATAAATATGGTTGCGCAACGCCAGGAGCAATGCAATGTGTGCTCGACTGTTCGACCCCGAAGCGGGTTACGAAAGCGGGTGCTGAAACATGCTTATGACCTGCACGTCGATAGGTTCCGGTGTGTATAATTTTGCTTGATGTTGAACGTTCGATCTCCCTTAGCAGTGGCCTTGCCTCAGCGAATTGTCCCAGCGAGGGTGGTTCGATTTGTTCACGGCGCTCGCTGGATATTGACCTCCCGTATGAGCCGTGTTCAACGTAATGCTCACGGGCGTCGCGTTGGACAGTTGCAATCTGACTGGACATTGCTTATATCCTGTAATAAAAAATGAAGCAGATTACCCAGCAAACACGGTTATATAACACCATGGTGTTATATAACGGTTATATTGTTGAGTAGGAAATTACAACTAACTAACTGCACGTTGCATGTAATATTGTGTTTGCTGTGGGTATAGAGACGTACGGTACGGCGAGGGTATAACATGCGGTAGCGCGCCGATAATTTCGTACGATAAATACGCACGGAGTATCTTTAGTAAAACGGACAACACGGAGTGGTGGAAGTAGTTTACATGGCGATGTTCGACAAATGATTCGCAAAGAGAGAAAGAGAGGGAGATTTTCTACTAGAATTTACTCCACGAATGGATTTCACCCGTGTGTCTTGCACGATGAAAAATTGCCACTCTTCCGCCAATAGCCAATTTTGTCCTCGACCGCGTATCCGGCTTTTCGTCAATGCCCCGTTAATGAATGGAACAATGGTTGCGTTCAGAGAACAAAGCGCTTAGTAACTATTGATCCTTACATTCAGACGAGAATAACGTTGACGAATTACTCAACCGTTTTTGTAACCGTTACGTTTTCTGCGAACGCAGCCAATATTTTATCGCGCAAAGAGACGCAAGACGATAACGAACACGTGTGTCACGCGAATACGACTCAATTAGACTTCTTGAATTGTGAGCGACTGTCGCATGCGTTGCGTGTCTCGTCCCGTCTTGTCTTGCCAATAAGAAATCGGCGTTTTCCACGTCGGAGTCTCCTCCTCTCCTCGGTTACTGTTAAACACTTTATATACTGTACATTTGTTCGACCGACACGTATATGTACACGTATGCGGATGGCGCACGGCCAAACACCAAGTTTCTCAGCACGGAAGAGAGAAGTCGAGTCATCGTGCGAGACTTACCGGCGTGATGAGCTCCGGAGCAGTGGCAGCACACAGGGTTGTTGCGCGGTCTTGGGCAGAATTCGACGCTGTGTGGCTCGCCGCAGCGGACGCAACGTGGAAGGTGTCGGCAGTTGGCAGCCACGTGCCAGAAACCTTGACAACGGTAGCACTGCAATACCCCGTCGGCGACTTGTCCGCCGTCGTCCGACGTCGCCGAGGTGTTACAGTCTTGCCTCAGTACACATTGCGAGGGTATGCTGGGGCATCCGGTGCTGTTGCTACCGCGCCACCAGCGCTCCGGGACAGCGTTGAAACGGGCCGCTCCGAAGAAGTCCAGACCTCGACGCAGTAGGGCCTCGTAGTGACCGGCGTCGAGAACCTGTGTGCGCGAGTGACGCGACGAGAGTCAACGAAGAATGGTTTTTACAAGGAAACTTCGCACTTCGGCGAGAAGCGTCCGAGAAGCGCGCGCTTGTCGCACGCGCGTTGCATCCATTTCAAGCAACGCGCGCCATTTAGCAGCGAGCGATATCACCTCTACTCGAACAAATTGCCTCGCGCGTTCGACATTTCCGACGACGATTCCTTGCTTCGTCAGGGCCGAATCGATATCCTGGAGCGGTATAGCCCACGGCACGCCTCTCAGTAGTACAGCTTGGCCGGGATACCGGGAGTCTTTCGCTGAGAATCGTGCTACCTGACGCAAGCGAAATTAAATTAGCCTGATTACAAAGATTACAAGGATTGCCCCCAACGCGACAGCCGAATGCGCGAAGTAACGTAAGTTACTTTACCGCGCTACAGTACCTGTACAGGTGTACCGAACACTTGGCCTAGATCGTCGCGTTGGAGCAGTTTCTCGGCGTCGTTTTCTCTGGCAAAGGCAGCAATCAGGCCGCATGGAGTCTCTGTGACTCGCCAAGCCGAGAACGGTGCGGCAGCGGCGATAGCTTCCTCGAGACGGGATCGCAACAACTCGCAACCTAAGTCGAACCGAGTGATGACGAAACCAATCGCGGAATCAATCGGGCCGCCCCTATATCTCTCCTCTCTTGGTTTTTACTTGGTTGAAAAGAAAGAAAGAAAGAAGAAAAAAGAAAGAGTCTAGTTTTATATTAAATATCGTATGTATTTCGAGATGAATCGGCTCCACCCATCGGTGTGCCTTACCCTGGCCTACGCGGCTTCTTGCGGGGTCTTGTGGGCCGCCGCCAGCGCGCGAAATGTACAAGGAACACGTGAATTGTGTTTCCTGTTCCACGGTCAACGCCGGATTTAGGCTTTCTTTATCCGGCGGCCGGTCGCTACCTTCAGCTCTGCTGCGCAAAAGCTCCGCCGCGGCATGGTCTTCCATCTTCGCGCGCCGTGCATTCGTGCGCGACTGTACCTTGAATTGGTACGTGTATACTGTACACTGCACCGTTGCCGCTTTTTCTCTTGCCAACGCGACGCTTGAAGAAGTATCCCGTTCTTTTCTTTCGCAGTTACGCATGTATTACGTGGACGTAATTTACTCGACTTGTTAATTTATGCGTCCACGCGATTGCGATCTCGCGAAATGAGATCCGGGGCGAGAGGCGAGGCGACAATTGTGAAAGATCGTTGATTGGCACGACTGACGCGGAAGTAGCTTGAGAGAGAGAGAGAGAGAGAGAGAGAGAGAGAGAGAGAGAGAGAGAGAGAGAGAGAGAGAGAGAGAGAGAGAGAGAACGTGATATCTTTCATCTCGGGCGACAGCGTTGATTTACCTGCGGTTCGGCTCCTTCCCGTCTCGTTAGCACAAAAAGACGCGACCTGTGCATCGGGAGGACCGAGAGAGATACGGGCCCATGCTGTCGCGCCGGTCGTCATTCATCGTTCATTCCTATTCACGGCTAATCGCCTCGCTTCAGGATGATATGCGACCGACAGCGAATGAAAGAATGAAGAATTATATCGCGTCGCTGTTGTTACACACTGAAAATCGCGCGAGAATTATTGGAAAGTCGCTCGCTGCGTAGCTCGCGATTGTTTTCTCCCTTATTTTTCCTTTTCCTTTTTACGCGACTAATGTGACAAATTGACGGGAGGGAAAGATAAATTTACAAGGTGATCGAGTTAATTTGCGATATGCTAATAAGTATACCACGCGTATCGCGCGCTGTACGCTGTATAGCCGCAATGCGTAGCAAAAACCGTGAGCAAAAAACTCGCGCTTCGCGGCTCGATCTACGTACAACGAATTGTTCTCCTTTCATTCCTTTGCAGGGAAATTATCTCGAGTATTACCGGGATACTTTACAGCGCGTTCCGCGCCACTGGTTAACAAACTCTTCCGAAGCTGTGAACCCCGATATATGACTCGATCGGAGGATGGAAAAGCCAGATTTTGGAACGGCAGTATCGTTCCGCGATCGTTAATTTTGCCTTACCGGACAATTTTTATCATCCCCAGCGAACTGACTGATCGGTACATCGTGTATAGAAAAATAAAATATACGTGTGACGATTTCGCTGTACTTTATGCTTGTTAACTCGGAGCTTCGGAGGAGCAGGCAAAAGGGTCCAATAACATGAATTGAGCGACACGAATCGCCAGCGAATTAGCGGCGCCCATTCTAAACACAATGGACGCTTGCTTCGATCGATTCTCCCAGTTTGGGGCTTGCTATTCATAATCAGTCGGTACGATCGTCGCTCTTGAATTACCACCGGGCCCCTCGGTGCCCTCGGCTACCAATACAAAAATTTGCCCAGGGCTGACAGTCTTTAGTATTACCTCGTCAGTGGTTTATCGATGTAAATTTCCAAGTTCCAATTTAACCTAAATGCAACGCGGAATGTTAACGCGAGGGAAGGAAAGAGTGTAGGCAGATGCAAATGTGTTTGCGCGTTTGCGGATAAGGAGAAAAGAGGTTCGGTTTTGTTTTCGTATAGTCAATAGTGGACGTACGTCCACATCGGAACGGCATCGAGATGATGATGGATTATTTTGTGACGAATAATTCCTTGGCGCCTGCACCCATGGGGATACAAAGCACAGCGGGTGCGGTGCCTGTAAAAAACGACAAAGGTTAGGCTCAAGGCTGAATTGTTAATGACGTTAACTACTACGGAGAACACAGATATATTATGATGTTTCTTCTCATCGAAGAGAGAGAGAGAGAGAGAGAGAGACCTCGGCGAATTTCGCAGAAACAAAATGCATTTGCGTAATGCGTTCGTAAGATTCGTCGTTGTTATTTTAAAAGATGTGATAATTACTGTCCTGGTGTATGCTTTAGTTGTAGCACGAATATCTGAGATAATACCTACTCATCCACATGTGTGATGTGTCATGTTGAATCCCCTCTAAAAAAAAACTTATTTTCCATTGCAGGTGAATTGTCGATGAAAAAAGTCAAGGTGCATCGTTATGTTTCTGGCAAACGACCGGATTACGCGGCAGCAAGCTCGGATGAGGAGTCTGAGGAGGAAGACTTCCTGGAGAAGCGTGCGCTCAAAGGCTACGACGACAGCGAAACTATCGTGGACGTTCCTGCGCATTCGCATGGAAGGACCAGGGATGACGACGACCCGCGTCTACGAAGATTAACACGGCAGAAGGAAGCACCGACTGAAGTGCGCACCGAGAGGCACAGACACATACACGAGCCCGAGTTAATCGAGATCGAGCTAGAGAGGACACGCGAGCGAATTAAATTAGAGAGCTCCGACACATCCGAGGATGAGGAACTGTCAGACTCCGAGATAGAAAAGCGGCGAGAGGCTCTGAAGCAGCGTGTACTGTCCAAGAAGGACACAGAGGAGGAATTGATACAGGGCGAGGAGGAAGAGAGGTCGGGCGAGAGCTCGGAAGAAAGCTCGGATTATGAGGAATATACCGATTCCGAGGAGGAGACTGGACCGCGACTGAAGCCAGTATTCGTCCGCAAGAAGGATAGGATCACAGTAATGGAGAAGGAGAAGGAGGCGATGCGGCAGAAACAGGCGGAGACTGAAGCGAAGAAGCTCGCGGAAGAACGCAAGCGGCAGACGTTGAGAATGGTGGAGGAGGCGGTGCGGAAGGAGACGCAGGTCGGTAAGGGTAACATCGAGCAGGAGAACAAACTGAACGACGTCTGCACGGACGACGAGAACGACGAGGTGGAGTACGAGGCGTGGAAATTGCGCGAACTCAAGAGGATCAAGCGAGATCGCGAGGAGAGAGAACTGATGGAGAAGGAGCGTCTGGAGATCGAGCGTATACGCAATATGACGGAGGAGGAGCGAAGGCAAGAAGCACGATTGAACCCGAAAGTGATCACCAATAAAGCGGCCAAGGGGAAATACAAGTTTTTGCAAAAGTATTATCATCGTGGTGCCTTCTACTTGGACAAAGACGACAATATATTCAAGCGCGACTTCTCCGGTGCCACCCTGGAAGATCACTTTGACAAGACGATCCTGCCAAAGGTCATGCAGGTGAAGAATTTCGGGCGCAGTGGTAGGACTAAGTACACTCACTTGGTGGATCAGGATACCACGCAATTCGACTCGCCGTGGATATCGGAGACTGCGCAAAATCTTAAATTTCACAATAATCAAGCGGCGGGTATGAAGCAAGTTTTCGACCGACCTTCTCTGAAAAAGCGGAAAGCCGATAATTGAGTGTCACGTCGAGAGACTCTACACGCGCGCGCGTGTGTGTTGTATCTTCTTTTTATTTTATTTTACTATTTTTTTGTTTTATTTTATTTAGTAAATACAAATATGTAGAAACATTTGTACAAATATCATTGCGTCGATAAAAACAATTATGGAAGTTAAGAACGACAGCTTATGTATACAAGATACAAACGATATATTCATCTATATAACGTCATCGCAATGGAATATATGAGTAGAACTAGTTTATGTATAATATCGTCGGCCCCATACACACACACACACACAAACACACACACACACACACACACACACACACACACATACAAGACCCTGTTTTTAGAAATAGATTACAATACGACGATTTATACATATGCAAATATATTTTATACACGAACAAAATTGCATAGGCACGTAATACTAATTAGACTGGAAAGTATAGATGTATTTTCCTTTCTCTTTCTTTTTTTTTTTTCCTCAGACATGTATATTTCTCGGTATACTTTCGACTGGAGGCTCCTAATATCGTATCATACAACACTCATCTCATAGTGTCCAATATTGACAACTGATTCGCACACCCCTTACTTGGTAAAAACAAAAAGGACAAAAAATAACTTACGCCAAGATTGTAAAGTGGAAGAAATCAGAAACGTGTACAATATATTCCCCACATCGTAAATCTGATATGCTACGCTGCGCTATGTGGCACTGGTGGCGTGCAAATTGTCGTACCAGTTTTCACTGATCGTTAAATATCGTATTAGTTAGTTTCTTACTTACTTTTTCTTTACTATTAGTCCTCGTTTAAGACTTTTACACCTAAGTAGCTCGAATAAATAATTCTAAACTTATCTCTATATAGAAACATTAGAAACATAGAAATATATATAGGAAGAAATTTCCTTTTACATTCGAAAGAAAATATGAAGAACGATTTGATTTCTATCGCATACCCATTTAACATGTTGATTATGATGCGGATTACGATTCGCGTCTAGTCTTATAAGTGTTGCAAGATGTAGAATCGCGTATCGACAACGCCCATTGAGACTTGAAAATGAATCTCCAATCTTTTCAACATGCATCTATACATCTATAGGTTTATAAACTGTCTATAAATGGTATTAACAGATATAAAAACATACTCGCATTGTATATAACAATCACATCAAACATTTATTTCGGACTGCGTAATTTTTTCAATGCTTGTTTTGCAGCTGCACATTTGGCTAGCTTCTTGTTAGGTCCAAAGCCATAAAATATCTTTTCCTTACCGGCAATGGTTACTTTTAACGGTACCATGACGATGTTTTTGCTTTCAATCATTGTTGCTTCACTGTAATTACGGAAATATCTTGTGTACATACATATATACATACATGCGTGTGAACACAAACAAGCGAACAAATTCTGTGTGTATGCGTGCGTGTGAAAGGAAGAGAGAGAGAGAGAGAGAGAGAGAGAGAGAGAGAGAGAGAGAGAGAGAGAGAGAGAGAGAGAGAGAGAGAGAGAGAGAGAGAGAGAGAGAGAGAGAGAGAGAGAGAGAGGAGAAAGAGGGAGAGAGAGAGAGAGAGAGAGACAGATACACATGTAAATGTTTCATACATATGAAATACGCCAAGTGCCAAGTGCAAAAAACAAATAAAAAGAATTATACTTACAGAAATTTAGCATGTGCATCTTGATGTTCGTATATCACTCGGACTGGATTCTTTGGGACATTTCTGCTAAATTCATCTACGAAACACAATGCATGGTGACTCTATACATACGTGTATACAGTATCTTGATAAAGAACTATCAATGCTACAAGCATGTGTAATTAAATCGTGAGATTTGAACAATGTCTCTTTGGACAATGTCATTTTCGTTCCGCACACGCGCGCATGTTTTACCAAATTGTAAATTATTATTACATAAATTACCACGTTAATCACATTATTCGTGCATAAATCTTACCAATTTCCTTGTGCATAAAAGAATAAACCATCTCCCAGACTTTTGCCAAGTTTCTGTTACTATCGAGATAGATAGCTCCGATTAATGTTTCGAATAAATCTCCCAAAACTTTCGGAACATCAATGTATTCTGCTATGTTGCAATCTTCCTCTTCAAGTAACACCCACAATAACTTACAGCGGGAGAAAAATTCATGTTATAAATTACACGTGACTTGTGATCGCGACATTTGCTGCGAAAATCAAATTGCACACGCATACCTCATCGTTAATTGCGTAATTCCGGTCTTCTTGAAACTTGACGAAGCGGTTGATCATTTCGTGTAGTTGCGGAGCATAGGCCAGTAAACAAGTGTGTAAACCATATCGCACGGCTAAGCATGCGAATGTTATATTGTTGACGAGGGCAGACCTCAGGTCGGTAAGAGCACCCGGACTCAAGTTGCCGCAAAATTCGTAAATATGGCACGTAATTAAGAAATCTGAGAAAGGAGAAAATACGAAACTTTCGTGTTTGAATCATTTGTTGTAATTCGCTCCGTCCGAGCGCCGAAACATCGGCATTCCTCTTAATGCTTTATATTACCGGCCAAATTATGTGATGTCATAATATACTTATGATCATGTATGTTAAACAATTTTGCACTCACCCAGCACAGCGTCCCCAAGAAATTCAAGTCTCTGATAGCAATCAGTTATTCTATTTACCGAATACGACGGATGGGTAAACGCCTGAAACGTAATAAAACAGCGATTCAAATAGAGGTAAAGATAAACAGATACACGCACGCGCGTACCTCGCGTGTACACGCACACACACGCACACGCACACACGCGCGCGCGCACGCACGCACGCACGCACGCACGCACGCACGCACACGCACACACGCGCGCACGCACGCACGCACGCACGCACGCACGCACGCACGCACGCACGCACGCACGCACGCACGCACGCACGCACGCACGCACGCACGCACGCACGCACGCACGCACACACACACAACATACATATACATACACGTATTGTAAGTTTAGAGCACAGATAAGGTAGCGAGTTAAATGTATTTGCAAGTGTGTATCACAAATGGAATGAGAATGAAGTGTAATAATAATATAGAACTGGGCTGTTTTTAATATCTTAAGATCTTAAGATTACCTGCAACAAATATGCTCGATTGTTAAATTTATAACCAAGCCTTTTTTCTATGCTATCGGCCCATGGCATATGTTCGTTTGGATTTCCTATGCCGATTATAGGATTTGATGAATTAGTACCGTTCAGTAATTCATCAATCTTGATATCTGGTAATATGCCAAACCACTTAAGTAGCTTCGCAGCGCCACTTATGCCAGTATTCTGTGTATTCAAAACTGATATGTGTTAAGTGTATCTTTTTTTTTCTCACGCCTTCTTTTAACACGTTCGTCGTGCTTTTGTTTGATGTTACAATCGTACCAGTACAGTTTCTTTTGGAAACTGAGAAGCCAGAAAACTACGGTGTTTTTGCCAAAAGTAATAATCAACGATAACGTTACATTAGTTAAACTATCCACTCACCCTGAGATAAACACCAATTAGCGCTTCTATCGAGTCCGATATGGCTTTATCGGATATAATTTGAATATTGAGGTAATGCTCCATGCCAGTTTGGATTTCCGCCAAGCTCCATTGCGATATCGTGTTCTGTATTGTGTTACTTGTACTTGCGCTTATGTCACCGGTTAATCTTTCTTCGTCTGGTACCGGAAGTTCGTACAGTATATTCGACGACACGTCCTGGTCCAATAGCGTCTTTTGCAATGGTCGGAATACTGTGTACGCGGGCACGATGAAAGTGCTCATTGGCGCAAACTCGTCGATCTTCAAACGCCCAGGTATGCCCTTGTTCACGCCGTTGTAATACAGATTGCGATTGCCGATGATTCTGCCTTTTATCGCCGTCAACTGACCCTCACTGAGCATTGGAAAGGTGTGATACAAAAATAACGATGTAATGAATTTTAGGTACGAATCGCCCAAAGTTTCCAATCTCTCCAAATTGAACATGTCGTGACACATCTTGGTGGTAAGTGCCTGCAATCGAGTGAAACTTTACGATATCATAGGTATCGATGATTTTGCTGGCTACTCAAGTAATTTATATATGTAACGTACATCGCTGTACTGACGGTATCTGTCTATATCTTAGACGAGAGGTAAACTCACTTTCACTTACCTGCAGAATTTCCGTCGGACCAGGTCCGTACGAATGTTTCTCGGCGAGAATGTTCAACGGTGGTACCGTTACTGTTGGCTTTGATATATATATGATGTTTCTGTCCAAGTTGTTCTAAAACATGAGAAAAGGGTCTCGCGTCACCGTTCGAGATACATTTATATGTCAACAAGCATATATCGTACTTATATCATAAATGTGTACATATATATGTATATACATCGCTGTATAATATAACATATACCTTATATACTATGTATAACTGTAATATAATATATACGTGCATAGTACATACACACGCGTTTAGTACATCCTGCCTGCTTACCAGAATCGTGTCATCCTCGTTACTGTTTCCATCCATAAAATGGCAATAGTATTGTATATCTATCATTTGAATGTGTTCTATGTCACGGTATATATCCTGAGGTTCCTGATCCTTTGACCAAGGATATAAATTCGCTTCGGTGTTCAGTACTACATTCATGAAAATAAAAGCAATGGAAACGCTTTAATTAATCATAAGAAAACAAAGAGAAAGCTTCGACTTTTTGTTAGACCCGTAGAGCGTATATTTTATCTTATCTTATATTTCTTTCTTTCTACGCGTCTCGTATCTAACGTACCGTCTAATTCTAATTCATTCATATCCGGCTCTGCTTGCATGCTTTCAATCGTGTCGTCCAATATTGTGTCTAACAATGGTTCCGTTGACTGTTCGACAATTTCCTTTTCTATCATATCTAATGCAGGCCATTCACTGCCGGATGGTAATGCCAAGATTCCTAAATTGGTCTCTCTTACGATAGTTTCCCTCAAATCTTCCGCGATTAAAAGATGCGTAATTCTATGAAGAATCGAAGGTAAAGTGGACGCTTTTAGCCAGTATAGAGCCGGGAAACATATCATCCGGCATAACTCCGGAATTAAATGTTCTTCAAAATCTTCCAGTACATCCGCTCTTCGACGTTTGCTAAGTCCAGGTTTCATGCTCCTGCGGATGGTAATAATGCACGCAATGAGAATTAAAATTAATATCACATTGTGACAAACTAAATACTGGCGATACTTGACGCGACCGTGTGTCATACCTCGGTTTTATACAATTAATCTTGGTTGAAATCGCCTTCACTTCCAGCAACGGTTGTTTTAGATTCTGAATTTTTATTCCGTGTTTCTCTTCGTAGTAATGCGTGTATGTTTCAAAATCGTCAGTCGGGAAAAGCGATGTGGGTGTCAAGTCGTCACACACTTGCGTGACTATATACACACTCGGTGATGTTCTGTAACTTGGATTGACCAATGTCACTTCGTAATCGCTGTATCTGACGTGAGAGAGCGTGGATGACGGAACCTTCTCCACGTGTTGATATTTCCTTACATCGTCCCAATTTATTTCCCAATCGACATTCACTGAATCGTTAAGGTAACGATCGAAATTTATAAATATGAATGTATATATCTATATATCTATATATCTATATATCAAGTAATGTCGAGTTCGCAAACTATAGAAGCCAATTTTTAGAATGTTGCATAAAATATGATAGATCCAGATAATTACATTATTACGTTATATAAACGAGCGACTCGCATTTTAATTGTGTGCGTAGGTATAGTATACTTACGCGGAACAATTAGAAAAGAGTTCTCAAGATTGTCCTTGTCAAATACCATGAATTTTTTTATCACCGGAATCACTTCACTGAAGAGCAAGGTATGATATATTTTGAGCGATTTAATATCTTCATTATTTAGCGTCATCGTTGCGTAATTAGGCTTTATTGTGACGTTCAACTCGCCGATATTCATGAAAATTGGAAAAGACGGTATCTGAAATGAATCACGAAGGAATTACGTGTTATATGATCGCGGCACGCTGCGTAATTTTTTTTTCGAGCTTAGTAACACGTGGTTAGATATGCTGGCTGTTTAGCATTTTCTACCTTCGGCATGCTCTTTGTGGAAAGGATGCCAAAGCCACTCTTGTCATTGAGTAAATTGTAAAAGACCAAATGCCTGTTATCATACGGTACGGAATATGTGGGACTGGCGTGGAGAACATGGAGATACAATTTCACTCCGTAGTGTGGAAATGCTCCGTATAACGCCGTTGGATACTACAAGAGCATATTTCACAAATTAAATGTGTGTGCATATGAGGGCGGAGAGAGGGGGGGAGAGGGAGAGGGAGAGGGAGAGGAGAGAGAGAAGGAGAGGAGGGGGAGAGAGAGAGGGGAGGAGAGGGAGGGAGAGGGGGGGAGAGAGAGGGGGGAGAGAGAGAGAGAGAGAGAGAGAGAGAGAGATTAAACACATTCGATGTACTATTTTCTGCTGATTGCTGTTGCAAGTATAAAGCTTACATAGTTTTATTCTGTAAATGTAAAGTATAAACTTGCCTGCAGTTTATGTCGTCGTTTCTTCTTATGTGTACCACACGAAGAGTCATCTTCGTTTATCCAATTAGGAAATAAGTAACTTTTCTCTTCTAAGACTGCATTCGGCAAGACAGGTTCTATATTATCTGTTAATGCACCCAGCTGGTGCAATCTTATGCAACATTTCATCGCGACGGATCGCTTGGCAGAATTTATGTTTGCCATAAAGTCACCATAACTTATATCCTTCAATGGCGATATGCTCGGTAATTGAATAGAAACCTGTCGAATATACATGCAACGGAACAAGTGTTATACCACGATGCATAACATAACGTAGCTACGAAATTAAACAGCGCAAAATATATGCAACAGAAACAACGTGAATACAAATACCTGATACAAATTGCTACTGGTTTTGTACAAAGTCCAAACTGGAATCAAGGTGACAAACTTGCATCGTAACAGGCTATTGCAATATCTATTTAATATACTGACCACATTGTTCTCTGTTAAAACAATGCCTGCAGCACTCACTGTATACGGTAAGATTTCATGCTGATATAGACCATTTTCAATCTCTTTATCAGTGGGTAAGCTACGAACCTCGTTTCCTATTAAAATCTACCAATAATAAATGTGCGAGTTAGCATCATTAATTCCATTAATTAATTCGTTGAATTGTGTCGTATGATTCTTGATTCTCGTCATCTGTTAATCCGCGCCTTATTTTCAATCAACTAATTGAAGAAGTACCAACCAGCTACATCGATATTACATTCGGGTGCCCCGAGGATACTTGTGATATACAAATTATCCTCAAGGCGAGAGTCTGAACGTTTATTACTCATGTCACGTTTTCAATGCTTACCGTTTTCATTTTTAACTCTGTAATTTTAAAATCTTTGTATCTTGAAAGGAAAGTTTCATCGTCGCGCGGCACTAGAACTGTGTAATGACTAGTGCCATGCCGTGCACGACCTTTACTTTGAACATATGCTCTATAATCCGTTGGTAAGTCATAGCGCACTACTAATGCACAAAGTGGTACGTCAATTCCTTCGTCAACAACATCGGTCGCTACGATGCAATTCGATAAACCTTTTCTAAATCTGTGAAAGAAAAAAATTTTTATACACACACACACACACACACACACATGTGTATGTGTGTGTGTATATATATATATAAATGCACACACATACACACATATGTGTGTGTGTGTGCATCTTAAAAGTATTAAACACAAAAAGAAAAAATGTTACCTTTGCATTACTTCCTTTTGCCATTTCGCAAGACATAAAACTTCTCTAGTATTTTTATAAGGACTATTGTGGCATCCAACTATGAAGTCAGGCAAAAGAAAATGATACTGATCATCATGCATAGACAGTGTCTGAAATGTTATCAATTAATCTTAAGTCTAAAAAATTAAATTTATATATGCCTGAGCATTTATATAACCGCTGGTACTACAATATAACTGTGAAAACAAAGTGTGCTATTCTTAATAAAGTGATCTATAAGTGAAATACGCAATTCCTAATCAACGAATAATAAAATAAACACAGAAGAAAAAACAAAGGAAAAACCTACCTTTAAGATATGATATAGCACTTGCGTCATGAATCTTTCTTTGACAAAAATAATGCAGCAAAACTTTTGATCAATCAATTTATTGGCATTGAAATCCTTCAGTAAAGTAAATAGTTTGTACATCTGGTCAGATGAAAACCTAAAAGTTTTATTAGTATTGTGATTTAATTACAGCAGTTTAGTTATCGCAATATCAATTGTCACAGGGGACAAATATTCTATAAATTTTTCCAAAATCCTCATTTTACACTAACTTGTATATTCGTTCTAATTCTGTACAACCTCTCATTGCATCATCAAACAATTTTCTTATTCTGACAAGTTGCGTAATTAGATATTCTAAAATGATATTTGTTTGCTGAAATATGATAAGGACTCTGTTTTTAATAAGAACAAAGATAACGTGGAGCACTTTACTATGCACCATGCAAAATAGAGTTTTAATTAATATTTCCAAGAATATTCTACTTACTATAGTTAGCAATTGCCGAAAAATGTCGAGTCAAATGACGAACCGATCACTCTTTTCCGACAATACAACGCGCTCTGCTCTTGATCGGCCAAATCTAAATTTTGACTTCAGAATATAGAGAATAAAGCTTTAATTACTTTTTATCTTCTTTTTTGCACTGAAACTGCATCTCGATTAGTTAAACAAAAATGTCCAAGTGAATACATTACCTGCTTGTATTGTAGTCGTCAGTATATCTTTCATAATACCAGTTAATTTTGTAGATTTCTTTCTAGGCTGAAAATGTGGGCTAGAATCCATAAATAATTTATCGGTATCAAAGATTATATTCTTTAATATACTTATGGAATCGTCTATTATTTGATTCACATCTACAGCCACTGTAGCAGCCACATAAGTATCGTACTTAATAATATTCTCCTTTGGATTTGTACAGTATTCTTGGATACAATCTGTTGATTTTACAGTTGCTACTTTCGCCTGGAATGTCACCTCCAAATCCTATAAAGCAAACAATTGTAAAATATCTAAAGATTACAATTGAAAATAATCAATAACACAGTAATATGGAGTAATCGCGTGTCCTTTTCTCTTTTTGTCTCTTTACCTTGATAGTAGATTCAATTTTGTCAGACTTTATATTAGCATTTAATAATGTTGCTGACATAGCTAAGATACGTGGCTGCTGTTTCTTACAATACTTCTCAAATAGTTGCATAATTTGCCGCATAGGATGGTTATTCACAGCTCTATGACACTCATCAAACATAATTAAATTTATCCTATCTAACTTTATATAACCATGGGTAATAGTGTCAACAAATATTTGAGCGGTCATTACTAAAACCTAAAGCAGATTGAATTGTTGTATCATTAATCACTCATCTCCATAGTAAATCTCCAGAATTATCGATACTGTGAGTCTAGTAATACTTGATTCGCATCCAATTCGAGTATCCATTGATCTTCTTTCCAACAATCTACCTTCATATCACCACTGTAGCCTTTACAAGTTAGGCATGTGTGTCTTCTTATATAATCTGTTTGTTGTCTGACCAATGCTACTGTGTTTACGATAAATATGCTACGTTTGCCATTTTTACTGTAAGACCTAAATACAGAAGAATCTTTTGACACAAACATATGCAGACATGTAGGAAATCAATCACAGATACATATTATTCACGACGATTAAATGCACAATAGACACACCGCTGAGAGAGAGAGAGAGAGAGAGAGAGAGAGAGAGAGAGAGAGAGAGAGAGAGAGAGAGAGAGAGAGAGAGAGAGAGAGAGAGAGAGAGAGAGAGAGAGAGAGAAGGGAAATTTCCACATTATATCTACACATACATTTGTATTTCGCCGCTGAATTTTTTCAGCAGCATAACAGCTATGTACGTCTTGCCTGCACCAGTTGGCAAATAAACAATAATGTTATTTTCCACAGCCTTCTCATAAAGATCTATCTGATACGCTCGCGGCGTAAATTCGGAAGTCGTCACCTCCATTGTCTCGTGCACACAGGTAGCTGTAAACAAACCATCACGAACAATCAGACGAAATCAGTTGTCATAGAGCAGTCAGAAAAAGTTGCATCATCCATCGAAACATGACCCGTGTATAGATAAGTTATCAAAATGTGTATCAAATACATTTGAAATTTTCATTTCAAGATTGCTTACTTCACCAACGGCTTATCGAGCAAACAAATCTAATGACTGCTACAAAATAAGCTTTGTATCACGACCCACTGTCACAGACTGATTGAAACTGGTCGCATGTCTCACCCCGATGTCCCCGGTAAAGTCAAACAGTTCGGGACAATCCCGCAGTTCTCGAGTGGTCTCGAACAGTCTCGAAGAAACAATCGAAGGACATGCCATTGACACTAACGCGACCTACCTAGTTCTATCTAACCGACTATGAATCTTCCACTAGGCCCGGTATTCACAGTCAGGTCTTATATTTAACACCGTTTTAAGTTCATCTTCAGATTTTGTACAAATTATTTTATTGGCTATAGGGTATCTGAGAGTGAACTTAAGACGGTATTAAATATAAGACCTGACTATGAATACCGGCCTAGATCTAATACCCGTATTCATAGTCAGGCCTTATATTTGAGGCTTCCTTATATCCATCTTTAGATGCTGCACGGATTATTTTATTGACTACAGACCGTCTGAAGATAAACCGTCTTGAGGAAGTTTATATTATTATATTAAATATAAGGCCTGATTATGAATACAGGTATAAAGCTAGTGCAAGCAATTCAGTGCAGCGAGCAGGGTATCATCAATCATGAATCTTTTCCTTTAACGTGAAAAATGAAAATTTTCTCTAATGCAAAAGCATATGGAAATATTCACTTTTCACGAGTTCACGCTAGAGGAAAAGATTTATGATTGATGCCCTATAATGAAAACATAATTGAGATCGTGATACAAGTTAAACTCCGTTTAAAGCAAGTTGTGGAACTGGGCCTAAGCGCTTAGTGATTATCATTTCTGATTGGTTCATTCCCCTGGATTTATTAAAGATCTAAAATAATACTCCAATCATCAATGGTTGCGTTCAGAAAATAAAGCGCTCACCGAGCGCTTAGTAACTATTGGTCCTTATTGTTAGATCCTTACATTCAGACCAATAACGTTGACGAATTACTCAACCGTTGTATAACCGTTGTGTTTTCTGAACGCAGCCAATCTATGAGGCTCTCCAGTTTGATCAGCTGGTTAGCCGATCAGCTGATCTTCTATGATTTGCATGATTGTTTATTTTTAACTAACTGAGAAGATGTAAGGACGTGTCAAACTGAATTTAACAAGTAAAATGATATTTTGTTCAATTACTTGGGTAAAATATTAATCGTGAAATTTAGTACTGTGTATATACAAATTCATAAAGTGTTTCGATTTCATTCTGCATCGATACACACACAATTGTGCACAATTGCACAATACACAAGTGTCTATTTGTACGTGTCAGAGATCACACCAAAAGTAACACGTATATTTTAAATGAGATGGCTGTTTTATTGGCATCGTTACCTAGCGCAAAAAGGTTTGTGAGATTTGTCGGAAGAAACAATAAATGTAAATAAAATCGAATTTCTGTCATTGTGCAGGACCACGCAAATCAGAAATTTGCGGCAAGGCAGTGTTATAGATCTGGATGCTGATACGTTTCTCAAGATATCCAATTATGAGGACACTGTTAAACAATTGGACATATACTATGGAATAGTCAAGAGACAATTATTGCGTTATCAGAGTTGCATAACGGGTCTATTTCCGCAGATCACAACTGACAAAAAGGTTGGTAGCGTACGCGAAAGTATATATTGCGCTGCTGCGATATGGAGTCTGTATCAAGCGTACAGGCGCATCGACGACGACCGTGGGAAGTCGTACGAACTTGGGCAGTCCGCGATCAAATGTATGCGAGGTATTCTGGAGTGTTGGGTAAAACAGTCCTCTAGAGTGGAACTCTTTAAGAGAAATCAGTGCGATCGTTTTGCATTGCATTGCAAGTTTCATTTGGAGACAGGCGATGAAATTTACAAGGATGCTGACTATCATCACTTGCAAGCAAGTATTTGACAATAATCTGTATATACAGTTTTGTAGTGTATGCGGGAAACAATAGAGTTGGAAGTTGCCTCTTTCTCGATTATAATCCATCCATTTTTCCATTGCCATCCGAATGTAGATCGATGTTGTGTCCCTTTATTTAATATTTCTGGTGCAAATGATCTCTTCTGGCTTGCAAATTGTGTACACGCAAGACGAAGTGGCATTTGTACAGAATTTGGTGTACTATGTCGAGAGAGCTTATCGTACACCAGATTATGGTATGTGGGAACGTGGAAGCCGATATAACGATGGGACGCCTGAGATCCATGCCAGCTCCATCGGAATTGCCAAGAGTGCATTGGAGGCGATTAATGGCTGTAACTTGTTTGGAGAGAAAGGTGCCTCCTGGTCAGTGATATATGTCGATATCGATGCTCACAATCGTAATCGCAGTATCTTTGAGACTATGCTTCCAAGAGAATCTAGCTCTAAAGTAAGCGGCACCAGTTGTACCAGTTGCATAATTCTCACATCATTTTTTAAGCCATTCTTTCTCTCTCTCTCTCTCTCTCTCTCTCTCTCTCTCATACACACACACACACACACACACACACACACACACACACACTTCTCCCTCTTTTTCTGTTTCGCTCTCACTCACAAGAGATGATACATGATTTCTAGAGTGTGGATGCAGCCTTACTGCCAACAATATCCTTTCCCGCCTTTGCAACTCACGAGGAGGTGCTGTACAACGAGACTAAGGCGAACATAATCCGTAGGTTGAAAGGCAATTATGGCTTTAAACGATTCGGAAGGGATGGTTACAAAACGGTGTTGGAAGATAAACATCGACGGTATTACAAATCTGGAGAAATCAAGGTTACACATAAATTTCATAGACATAGACATTAAGTCAGTGTCATCATGATCGATACTATTTTACCATCTCGCATCGACAAGATATGATATTATATATCCGGTCATGTCTTTTTCTTCGATTCTAATTGGGCGATTGATGATGTATTCTCATTAAACGACTGTTTCTACAGGATTTTGACAGTGTCGAGAACGAATGGCCATTATTCTACATCTTCATGATAATAGACGGTGTATTCAAGAGTCTACCGGAGCAAGTAGAGGAATATCAAAATTTATTGAAAACCAAAGTGTACAAGGATCAAAATGGAGGTATACTATCAACAGTAGTTGTGTGTGATTGTGTAATTTCCAGTAGTCATTATAAATCACAGTTTTGTAATTGAAATTTCTTCCGTGCAACAGATCCGGTGATTCCCATGTATTATTACGTACCGGAAGAGTATTTGGAAACTGAGAGAAACGAGCCGTGCAGTGTTAATCGGCTGCCTAGCGACGAAGGGAGAGGCTACAGAGGAGCCGTGGATCACGAATCCACGTCGATGTATCTGTGGAATCAGGCTATGTTTGTAATCGCGCAGCTACTTACCGCTGGTCTTTTGCATATCAACGAATTGGATCCGATCCGTCGATACCTACCGTCGTATAATCGTCCGAGACGTGCGGGACGATATTCCGCTTTTCAAGTAAGAAAGACGTCAATTATACTGCGCGATAATTTTTTTTCCTCTTTTTCTTTCTTTTTCTGATGTCTCAAACAGATGTATATTTATTTGTCAATTCATAAGGCACATTTTGTGGTGAAGATGTTCAACTTGTAAAAATAATCGATTTTCACAAGTCACGGTCATAAGTTGATATAATTCTTTATTATGTTTCACACAGGCAAAACCGAGTATTGTAAGTAATTTGAAGCATGTATGCCTACTGTAGTATAGTTATATGTATACGTTTATTTCTTTCTATTGTCACTTCTTTTTAAGGAAAAAATACCGTTGTGTGATCAGAGCGATAACACGTATTATGCTTCGATATTACGCTTCCCTTTGTCCCTTTATTTATTATTTTTATTTTTTTTTCTTACGGAGCATGTGTGTGCAAAAATTGTCAAGTGCGAAATACCGCACGATGTTCGAGCTCGCGGTAAAGATTTGCTCAATGTTTCGTTTACATTGGTTTTCCTACGAAATATCCTTCAAGCTGTACGATTGATTAATGTTACTATACTTTTTTATGTCAGGGCACTCACACCGACCTAGTGGTACAAATAGTTTTAATCGCAGAATCCATGCGACTGCAAGCTATGATGGCCACGTACGGCATCCAAACACAAACACCGCACGAAGTCGAGCCTGTTCAGATTCTATCGTCTACCCAACTGGTGAAAGTATACCAAAAACTAGGTGTCAATAACAAATTGAATCTTCAAGGACGACCTGCGCGACCTATAGGTTCTCTAGGTACAAGCAAGGTACATAATGTGATATGATACATTGTGCTTTGGTGGTTTGATGTGTTGTAATTGCATCGACAATAGAGAGAGAGAGAGAGAGAGAGAGAGAGAGAGAGAGAGAGAGAGAGAGAGAGAGAGAGCAAGAGCGAGCGAGAAAGAGAGAGAGGGAGACAAAAGAAGGAAATGCTTGCTCCATGTCGTATTGACGAGATGTATATGCTGTTATGTGCGCAGGTGTACAGAGTCTGCGGTATGACGGTGCTTTGTTACCCTCTTATTTTCGAAGTCTCCGAGTTTTATCTGTACAGAGACATGGCTTTGCTGATTGATGATATAAAAACGGAGCTGCAATTCGTAGGCAAGTACTGGCGTCTTTCCGGTCGACCTACTGTGTGTCTTTTAATACGGGAGGAACACATGCGGTTAGTATGCGTACGTACTGCGCGTAATGTATGCTTTTACGCATATAGACATGTTCACCTTTGCGAAAATTTCCCCAGTGACCCGCAATTTAAGAAGATGTTGGACCTTTTCGCGATGCTGAAGAAAGGCTACTGCGACAAGACAAAAGTACGCATCGGCAGACTGCAAAATCTAATTTCATCTTCTTGCATTGGTCGGTAACGTACATTTGCAAGATCAGTCCTTGATCTCCCATGAAGGGTATAAAATGACATGCATGAAAGTATAAGTATTTACAATAAAACAGCAATCGAGCAGTATACATTAATCGTACAGAGCATTTGGATTTTGTGAATACCATGGAAACGGATTTGGACCTGGCACAGTTTAAACAGCTGCAGCACGATTATATAGGCTACCAAAGTCTCACGGATGTCCCTAAAGCCTTCGCCTATGCCGAGGATGTCAAGGATTATATTGTATGAAATACAATATATTGCGTGAAAATCGTGCTTAAAATATCTGATCGCATGGAAAAGTTTGTAATTGACATCTGACAATAATTGATTTTATTTTTCACAGTACATGGCAAATGAACCTCTGAGCGACATATTAAACGAGATTCGCAATAGCGTCGGTTTGTACGCCAAGTGCCAACTGTACGGCATCTTGATCAAGCGAGAAGGCATTAATTACGAGATTAATGGGACAACAGGTGCACACGTGTTTCCCTTCTCTTTTTCGCGAACACGTCAGCCATCATTCGCTGATTCGTAATTGTACGATCATTTATCATTCCAGTGCGCGACCATTTGAGGGCGTTGTATCAACATGCTGGTTCCTTGAGATTCTGGATGGCTGTGCGTTATTGTAGTAGCTTATTAAATCACACCGTCGACAGCATCAGTCCATTCATCACGGGTGTGCTAGTTAAAGGGAAACAGGTACTAATTAAGATCAGAGGTTCCCGTGAGAGAATACACAGTAAGAGATCCAGAGAAATTCAATTAAAATAGCCTATATAGCCACGGCCGTGTTTGTGGTGTTAGATCGCTGTAGGAGTGGTTGGACAAGAGGAAACTGTGTTTGATAAACCAATGACGCCGGCGGAAATACAATCGGTGATGTATTCGACGATACAGCCGCACAACACAGTGCAAGCGGTGCTCCAGCAAGAGATTCTACTGTATTGCGGTCGATTGATCGGCACCAATCCGGAAATGTTCAAAGGGATACTGAAGATACGTATCGGGTGAGTTTATTATTGTTTCTCTGAAAAGATTTTGCGTCTAATTGAATTGTTGTTTGAACCGCTTCTAGTTGGGTGCTGGAGGCGATGAAGCTATACTTGCAAATGTTTGTGAAAGATGCCAAGCCGATCGAGAACTACAGCCCTTACGAGGTCCGGCAGTTCCTCATCAAGGTGTTGACTGTCAAGGAATGGGCGCACGCAGAAAAGTACGTCAATCGACCGAAGTAATGACTTGCGCTATATAACGAATGTAAGCTGAACGAAGGTTATCCATTAATCGACTGGCTGGTCACGTCGTGTTGCCGATAGTCTGACAGTGCTGGGTCGCCGAAAGATCGAGGGTTGCCTGTGCAGAGTACCGGCGCATTTTTACAATCAAGTGTGGGAAGTTTTGATGCGCTGTCCCGGCGGTATCATCGTGAACGGACGAGAATTGCCACAGCAGCCTACTGTATCAAACATGACTCGGTCCGAGCTTACGTTCGCCCTACTCGTAGAGTCCTTGCTGCATCATGTACAATTGCCGGAATACCGTCAAATCGTCGTCGAGGTAACAAGCACTTGGACTTAACTTCACCGTTTGTACGTTTCGGTTACACTTTTGGTCACTTCAGAGGTTTGTTTCCTTTCCTCTTAGACGGTTTATCAATGCGCCTCCTCTGTCGCACGTGCTAAAAGATAACGCGCACGATTTTTCATTTATAACTGATCCCAACACAGTCGAAAGATGGGGACTCGCGATACAAGGAAAAGTGTAACAAAAACGAACGAATCCGAGTCGTGTCGTGTTAAAGACTCATGGCGCGATGCGCGTGTACAATTTGCTTATACGATAAAACTGTGCACAATCGTAGCTCCTGAGTATCGTGTCGACTATTCTGCTTCGAAACCCAGAATTAAGTTTCCAGAAGCAACTGGATCTCAGTCAGCTCGTCGAGGACAGTTTTATCATGTACCGCAAGGTAAGTGTATCGCCCTTATCTGTGCGTGCGCGTGCACATGACGTATGCACGCTTCTCTAAACATTCGTTCAACTTCTACAGGATCACAATCTATTAAATCTTGAAGACAAGTCGTCGTTCTTCTCGGCGCATTACTCTGTCACTACCGGATACCTCGCCAGAGCCGTGGTTAACAACGTTCTTACCGGTGGTTGCGTGACAACTATTCTAGATACCAACGACGCCGTTGACTCTCGAGAGATGTGCAAGGTCACGTAACAGTATGGATCCTTAACTGTAGATAAATTTATGAGATTGTTATTCAAGCAAGTAGCAAGCAAGTATCAAGTATGTAGAGATGACCGTGTGTATGCGATATATATTCGCACTGTCATTAATGTTATCGCGTTCGTATAAATATAAGCGCGACGATTGCAATGGTATGCGCGTCAATGGCAATGGCAATATGGATGCACAACAATGCAATGTTCCTGTTTCCCCGAATACTAACGAATACATTTTGTAGAGACACTTTTAACACATTCATTCGTGCACGTACGTGTATAAAACATATACGGTCTTCATACAAAAGTCACATTACATTCTAATTATAATTTATAAATTAGAACACGCAACGAACTAGAGATCAAGAGTCATCTTCTAGCGAAATTCGTGTCCATTGCTCGACCGGAACGTTGTATGTTGTTGATATTGGCTTTGATTCTGGACGCGACAGTACCGACTTCTGTCGCAACAACCAATTGTTTCCTATAACAAAAGCAATTATATTTTATTGCAATTGAAGTCCAGATTTGTTATTCGCATATTTATGCATCTGTGTCTATTTCTACAAGAGAAAGTAAATGCGCATCTATCTGTCTACTCGTAATTTACACTCAGGAACATACCTAATGAAATCCTTATTGTACGACTTATTCTGCGTCTCTCTCTTCTCTTCCTCGCGGTACATTTTAACATTCTTTTCTCTTTCCTTATCGCGCCACATTGCATTCGCCATCATCTCCTGCCTCCGTTGTTCCTTCTCCTCTTCCGTGAGGCTTGACTTTTGCCTCGACCTCCATTTATTCGCCGTTCCATCGTTTCGTCTATCTGTGGTATACCTTCTCTCATCATTGTACTTGCTCCGGAAATTATTCCTCTGCCTGCTATTCTCCTCGTCGTATCGTTGCTGCTTTCTGTGATGCACATTACAATCTTCCCTATACTCTTTGTTTCTTTCGTATTCGAAATTTCTGTCTCTGTTCAATCTTCTCTCTTTAATTGGTTTCCTGCTGTCGTTAATCTTTACATTGTCCTCTGCCGAACTCTTTTTTCTATCGCCCCCTTTTTTACTGTCTTCCTTTTCACGTTGAGTATCACATTCATCGCTACTGTTTCTGCTATTGCTCTCATCGTTCTCACTGTCACTCATATTTCCTACTTGCTTTTTCCGCTTGGACAGCGTTTCCTTAAGAGAAGCTTTGGTATCGTCGTCGCTACGTTCGTTTGAATCACTCGCTACCGAGTAACTACGTTTCTTCGACTTTTTCTTTTGCTTATGTCTCTTCTTCATTGACTTCAACAAGTCCCCTTCGCTAATGTTGTCTTTTAATTGTCTGTACTTGGCGACTAGCAACATATCCAACCTAGCCTCATCCTCGCTGCTGTCCCGCTGCTTTGACTTTTTTTTCTTCTTTTCACTTTTACTCTTGCGCGACTGTTGCTCCAGCTGTAAATTACAAAAGAGAATGAGACATAAACATATACAAAAAGATTGAGTCTCAGAAATCTGTTCACCACTTATTTTGCGATCACTTGTCTTATATTTACCAGTACTCTGAGTTGTTTTAACTTGACAGGATTTTTCAAAAGCTGATTCCTCGTCTCTATCTCCTTTTTCTTTATGACGCACAGAGGATCCTCTTGCATTTTTCTGGCTAAATCCACTTGTTCATTACCAGAGAAGAACCGCAACGAAGGCGGGATGCATTCTAACAACAAAAACAGAAACCAAGTATTGATTACCAAAGTAAGACAAAGTAGGACAAGGTCTATATATATACAAAGTAAGACAAGGTCTATATATATAGTAATATATAAAGTATGGATCCTTGATCCAATCTTTAACGTTTTGAGTACGATGTACTTTAAAATAATAATAATTCCAAACAATATTGCTCAACAGTAGCAATTAAAGATAGAAATAATAATCATTTTAATCCTTTATTTATGCCATGTTAAATAAAATATCATTTTTCTCACAGGCAGACACATATATCTGCGGTACTCATAGAACAAAATTTAATTGTTTCACACAGTTACATATTTACCATATTCGACGTGGTTTTTTGATATCCTACTAAGCTCTGCTTTCTCCGCTTGAACCATCTGTTCAAAGGCTTTGTCAACTGGTCTTCCCAATAGATAATCCTCTCTATTGACCATTTGATTTGGTCCTTTATACATCCAGTCCAGTTTCTTCTCGTCCTTCCTCTCTATCACTCCTTGCTCCATAGCATACTTTGTCATATCCTCACGATCCTTCTCCATTTCGATCTCCTTCTTCAGCTCCGCTATTCTCTTTTTTTCTTGATCATTCTGCTGTTCCGCCTTCCATACCTTTTCCATGTTCTTCATAGTGGACGGGTGCCACGATTTCTTCAAATTCTGTAATTCACAAATACACACCAAGTGCGATTAAGTCTAATCAAAATCACGTTCAATACGGCAGTTTCTGGATGGATTTGTAGCAAATTACCACAAAATACTTACCAAGTCTCCACCACCCATTTTGATTATATTCAACGTAATGTGATATTGTACTCTCAACGTAGTAATATTAACAAAGTGGTATTTTTTCCAGGAAAATGTTGACTATATCGATAACCATTACTCAATTTTTCTAACCCGCGTACAACTACAATAGTTCATATAGTTCATAGTTCAATAGATGGCTCCGAGCAAAGCGTTTCTACACTCCAACGCCAGTCACAGACGACAACGACAACTACAATTCTTGAGCACGAAGACCAATGACGATGTATACAACTAGACTTGGGCTGAGTTCCGATATTCACTTCGCCAGCACTAAACATCTATAATATACGTGACACAAACTATGTATTTTCAGTACCGGCAGTGAATTTTGGAACACAGCCATAGTCGACCATTTTCTTCACATTCGACTGTAATTGGTCAATTTCTGCGTCCTGCGAGCTATGTAGACGGGACTTTATGGCACAGTTTCTCACTCTCTCTCTCTCTCTCTCTCTCTCTCTCTCTATCTCCCCCCACTCTCTCATTCTCACTCATTCATTCGATGGGTGCATTCAGTACTACACTGCTCACTGAGCGCTCAATGAGCTTTTACATTCGATTGGTATATACCTTTAGATTTAAAAATATACACCAATCAGATGCAAGAGCTCACTTAGCGCTCAGTGAGCGGTTGTAGTAGTGAATGCACCCAAAATGTGGTTCCAGGCGTTCATAAAACTATTGCCCCAAGGCAATTCCACGATTGGAGCAAAGTAAGAATGGGAGACTTTTTTATCATACGATATTTTATCATCTTGATTATTCCTTAAACGATAGTTTTCTTGTTCGATGTTATTAGAATTGTCGCTAATAGCGGTTGCTTTCCAGCAAGGAGATACAAAAGCTGTGTTCGCTTTGGGCACGTTCTGCGAAAGTAGGGTGTGTATCGATTCAACATAGCACGATTCGGTATTTTCACAATCTTCAACTTACAAGTGCTATCTACGTCTAGTTTCGTCTTTCAGAAGCTTGTAGTAATATTTAGAAAGAAACGTTATCGGTAAAACTTGCCCGAGTTCTGACTGAATCGATAAAATTGTGTTTTACCACTAAGCATGGGATACGGATGCTTCATCTTTAAATACGAGCGCAATAATGAGATATTTCCTTTTAAGAGGTAAAAAAGTTGCAGAAAAAGGTGCATAAGTTTGTTTGAAACAAATTAATTGCTGACTCTTTAGATTCTGAATAACTTGGACAAATTTTGCATAGATATGCAGACTGACACTTGAGACAACTGGTACAGCAATACAACATTCGAAATGTATGAACGCACCGAGGGTACATGTATCTCATATAGTGCCTCTGTTGCTGTTTAAGGGTTAAGTTTTGTGAGGAGCTGAACAAGACCGTCTTCCAACGTTATACCGTAGGCACGATGCACCAAATCTCCCTGAATGAATGCAGGTGAGCTCAATGCCCGCAATGACGTATGCATCTCGTTGCATAGACGGTATACATATGTTCAGAAAAATTCAGATATTATTTAATCTCTCACGTATCGATTCGTCGTATTTATCGTTTTATCAACGACACGCTTATGTCAAATCTATATTAGAAAAAAAAAATAAATAAAAAAGAAGAAATTAACGCACATATACACATATCTCTCTGAAAAAAAAAAGAAAAAAGAAAATACGATGCGATAAATAGGATTAGAATATTGTTATAGGATATATTAAAGAATATAGTAAGTTAGGCCGCTCAAAAATATTAAAAGACACATTTGAAACTCAGTTTTATTCTCATTTATATTAAATTTTATAAATACAAAAACAATAATAAATTCTTCATACAGCTTTTACAACGCTCTAAAATTAAGAAGGGGCCGTCGCTTGTACTATTTAGAGTTATTAGAAGTAGGTTCTCTCTCTGTCTGCCTGTTTCTCTCATTCGCACTCTCTCTCTCTCTCTCTCTCTCTCTCGTTCTTATTTCGTAAGAAAGGATTCAGCGGATAATGATTCTATCGATGCGATGAAATGTATGTGAAAGGCGCGGAGAATTTTTTTTTCCTTTTTGCTTTTTTACAAAAAACGAAACTTTTACGTGTAATCAGTTCCACATGCCAGCTGGAGTACAAGGCGATTCTTGTCTTGCCAACATGCCTGGCTTAACAGTAAATAATAATTAATAATATTAATAATGATAATCAAATAATAATAATATAATAGTAATAAAATAGTCATAGTGTGTGTGTAGTAATAGTAATAATGATAAGTGATGATAAGTGATGATGATCGTAATAATAGACATTATACGCTAGCAATAGTGACACGTTGTTACGCTACTTTTTCTCATTTGTCATTAATGTAATACTTAATTAACGCTCGATCCTCATTACACACCACACGGCCTATACGTCTACTATAACAATTACCATTGGAGTAGCGATTGAGTTCCTTATCTATACCAGAAATTTGGATCTTCGCAAGCTCTGTATAATTAATTCATGAGCTTTCTCTCTTTCTCTCTCATACTCACTCTCACTCTCTCTCTCTCTCTCTCTCTCTCTCTCTCTCTCTCTCTCTCTCTCTCTCTCTCTGTCTCTCTCTTTCTCCTCATGTCTTTGTCTTAAATCTAATTTGCATGCATATTCTACATGACGACATGACATAATGCTAGTGCGGCTTTACAAAACGATTGCTGTTTTTTGGAGAATGATAATTTGTAAAAAAGACGGTCACTCACACACACACACACACACAACCACCCACACTCTCTCTCTCTCTCTCTCTCTTTCTCTCTCTCTCTCGTGTACAACACGAGGATTCAAAAAACGTTCAAAAGACATTTGAAAAAAAATTAAAACGCCTCCAGGGCGTCTCACGACTTCTTTTAGACTTCTGTCTCGTCCAAGTAAAGTAACAGGACGTCTGTTCGTTTAATTGCATTTTTCATGCCTTCCATACTTCTACCCCTCTTATTCTCTTGAAATTCGCTCAAACATATATTTTTCTGCTGCTTTGTTTCATTGAAATTAAGAACGCGTGAGGAACAACGCAATCAAAACAAACAGATTCGCTTAGTTGATAAGAAGAATTAGCGATATTTGACAGTAGTCTCATTCTTGAGAAGTGACTCACGGAACATGGACCAAGACTGAATGATCTTAAAATTACGATTGCACATATATATCCGTTTTTAGCGCTACTAGCATCGAATACGAGAGTCGGCCGCGCGGTGCGTTTTTGAGGCAATCGTACGTAATGTATACACGATATAAGTTATATTTACTATTCGTTATTATTATTGAACCTGGATGAACGCATACATGTACACGCATGTTATAGTAGCTAGGCGTCCGCGTCGCAAGCGGGCGAATATTCTCTTATGTTCTTGATGATTAAGCGGCGAAGCTCCGTTTCCCTTAGGCTGATTCAGTGAATGATTCAATGAAATTCATAGACACGTGAGTGAATAAATGAATGAGTGACAGACAGATAGACAGACAGACAGACAGACAGACAGACAGACAGACAGACAGACAGACAGAGAGAGAGAGAGAGAGAGAGGGGGGGTGCGCGCGCATCTCATGTATGAAAAATTTCGTTCTTTGAGGCACCATTTGTGATTTGAGGTATAGAAGAACGTTCCGGTTATATAAAACTCGGCGATTAGATCCTAGTCAAAACCGTAACGTTGATTCGACATTAATTTGACGTTGAAATGGTCGATGAACCGTTGAATCAACGTCAACATTCACTCTCATCGACGTCGAATCAACGTTGTGGTTCTGATTGGGACAGTAAGGCAGTCCTGTTTTTTATCAACAAATGCAATCACGATCATGTTAAACAATTAAGATGAATCCAGGATGTAGAATTTGCGCAGAATCAGAAATCAGAAAAGGGACATTCAAGCGGCGAGGAAACCATATTAAAGTCGCCCAATCGGATTTGAGTCTAACGAATGAAAGTAAACGGAGTTCCGCCGTGTGATCGTCATCATCGTTATATCATGAATCGTAGTTTCGCATCACACTAGCATGCATGTGCACATATACGCTTGTACTGGCAGTGGGTTCGGCTCCGCTCAATACTCTGGTACTATGGAGTTCTTATCACAGAGATATCAAATTGTTTGGTGCACTTTTCTTTCCCTTCCCTTTGTCCACTCTCTTTCTCATGAAGACTGTAATCTTTCGTCTTTTTTTTTTTCTTTTATAATTTCCGCAGTAGTATCGTCACAGTGGCTACGTCGATTAATAATTACACATTAATTTCCACGCACTAAACGATTGATTTCCAATGCTCACAAAAGCGATAAACAATTTCGATGATACCATTAAGGGCGTATCGTCAACTCGATTTGTCATGATTTTATATTTTATATGCAAGTTGTCTACACACACACACACACACACACACGCACTGCTATATATATATAGTGTGTGTGTGTGTGTGTGTGTGTGTGTGTGTGTGTGTGTGTGTGAGTGATATTTACATATAAATATATGTATATATTTTATAATCGAAAGCGTATGAGATATTATGGCCTTTCGGAAGAAAAATCCGTAGGTATCAGGAATCCACGGTCAGCTTCGTCAAATTAACTTTGATCTTAGCTTTAAGTAAGCTTTCTTTAAAAATCTTTTCTTATAAATTGAAAACTGAAGAATAGGATGGAGCAGAAGTTATAGACTGAAATTACTGAAGTTAACCAACATTGGTGAAACTGACCCGTAGAGAGAGAGTCCTTGAGAACTTATCTAAATTTCCTGATGAGTTGTCGACGGATAAAATTCGCCCGTCCGGACAAACGTTTGATGGGAGAGTCCAGTGACCTAACCAGTGACGTCATCGTCGAGTGAGCCTCAATTTTTTGATTACATATTAAGATACGTGCTTGACTGAAAGGCGACAGCGATACGTGAGAATGATGCGTTTACTTCAAACATAGTGCTAATTCTAGAGAGAGCGAATCCTCTAGTTTCTCTACAGTTTCTCGATAATTTCTCAAAATTCTTTCTGAGAAGTTGTATTTTCTCTTGGATCTGTTTGTTCTAAAGTGAGTCCCGAATTAACGAACCACGAGTACGCTCTGGAGATAAGACGTAAGGTCGTGTATGAGCGCGCGTTACTCGTAGGAAATATCGATATCAAGCAAATAAATTATCTGAACTTGAAAGCAAGCGATCTTTATAGATTCAATTTCCGTAAATTACTGTGTGGAAAATTCACTTTGCCGATAAAGACACTCAACCACAATGACACCGAGCGACAGTCACTGGGACCTCCTCCTGGCGACCGGACTGTGACGCTAACGAGGTAGACTGCTGTCAGTCTTTTTAAGGCTGGCAAGAGATTAATTGGGTGTTCTTCGACTTTCACGAGCATACATCCGACACGAGTCGATTTCTCAGCACGGAGTTATACAATTACACAGGACATACACGACACGTCAAGAGATAGTCTCAAAAGCAGGTCGAATATACATTATTTGAAAAAGAAAAAAGGAAAACGACACGGGGGACGGTGGCTCTCGCCCACCGTGACGTGCTTACGGCGATGAGATAATACGCGTAAATACGCGTATCATTATCGTACCCCGTCTTAACGTCGTCGCTTGAACCAACGCTTTGGCCGAATTTTCGAATGGCCGACTTCCTTCCTCCTCTTTCTCGCGCGTGTCTCATCTTCCTATCCTTCTATGTTATTGATTACGATATATTGGTCGATTATTGCGTAGCACTGGTCGATCGTTAATTGCGACACTGGGCAGTTTTGTAGCTAGTGGTAATTGTTACAAAAGAGTTGACCGTCTAAATCGTACGTATCTAATTACTATTTTCAATTGTAGCCTGATTATATACACATATATATATATATATATATGTGTGTATATAATAATCACGCGTATATATATATATATATATATATATATAATCGTGACGTTGTTGGCAGTAGCTGCCATAGAACAATTTTATACGTTCACTGAGCTGAGTGCCATAGATAGTTAATCGACGGTTTTTGTCTCAATCGAACGATTCGCAGCTGCTAAGGCAGACAATCTTTTTCTGTTTAAACGAAACGTTAGAAATCATGGCTCACAGGCATCCGCAGGCATTTGCTGGACAACATATATGAATTGCCGCAACATCGAAGAGATTTGCAGTTTTCCCTCTTTGCTGAAAACGTTTATCTGCGTGTAAAAATGACAAAAACCTTCATAATAAAATAATTTACACATGTATAAAATTTCAAATATGTAACAAATGTGCTTTGCCCCCCCCCTCCACGATAAAAAATATTCATCTTAACTTGAGACGGATAGAAATGAAAGAGAACGTGAAAGAACGCAGAGAATCAAAGATAACATAATTTATCTCTTTAATTTCTATCAGTTTCAAATTTCACCTCCCAATTATTATGTTTGCTTGAATTTTACAGAGTGTGATTTCACAGTATCAATGTCCCTCTAACGTTGATCGATTATGATGAGTATTGCGCAGATGCAACACAGCTATTAAAGTACTAAACATTCGCGCCAACCGTTCTCAGCGAACCGTTCTCCTTCCCCGAAATCCGTGGTCAAGGAATACATCCAGTCTCTCACGTAGTCTCTACGCGTGTACACTCGACATTACAAGTAACATCAAAGCCTCGGAGGCTGAGAGGTTATCGAGCAAGGTCGAGAAGGTGGTGGAAACGAGAGTGTTGTCGCTGTCATGGGCCGTTAGGAAAAGACGCGTGCGGCTGACTGCGGCTTAATTACTATCAATTGCCATTAAGTAGCGAACGCGATCTCGATCGTTTCGTTGAACTAGCGAGCGCGATTTGCTTCTTCTCGGTAGCTCGAGAGCGCGGATCTCGTCTCGAATGGAAATATAAGGCGCCGCAGGACAAGTGAGGTAATACATTTGCGTTTGTATTTAGGTAGGTTCGCCCAAGAGACACGTCCCCTGAGGAGACGTCTTCTCCTCTCTGTTGTCCGATATCGACGCGAAGCAAAACGCTCTCGCTTACCAGGTGCGAAATTTTCCGAAATTTCCGATCGACGAGTCTCAAGATGACCGCGTTGATCACAATACGCCAACATATTGCCAAGCTTATTCTGACCAAGCTTCTTTACCAGCTCCGGCTTCGGTCCAACTTCACAATCCCGCTCTGCGCGCGCGCGCGCGCGCAGTCCGGCTTCGGCATTCGGCATCACTGGTGGTGGAGGGCTCAGAGGAGGATTTTCCCCTCTGAGTCGAGTTTTCACACGAGTACCTGACGAGTCGCTTCGCCAGCGACTTGAGTGAATCTGACGTTCACTATGAGGCCCGTGCGAACTGGATGACGGAGCTCTGTCTCTGCACGGCTGCAATAAGGCCGCCGTTTCTCTCACTCTCCATGGACTGCAGGATCATCTTGCTACGTTTCCTGGGCGGCAAGATAAGAGTTTCCCGCGAAGGTATCGCCAGATCCAAGGGGTCGGGCGACGACGCTGGGCTCTCGGGATTGCTGCTCGGCGGCGTGAGCAGTGGGTCGACCTTGATGCCACTGTAGCCTCGCTGATGTTCCTCCTCGACAGCTTCCAACGCGGCCTCCACCCTACGACGCGCGTCGTTACCGGGTAGATTCAATAAAGACGAGCAGTCGGCGTCGAGATCGACGCTACCGCCAGCGGCAGCCAGACCGAAACCGGTGTAGGTCGGCTCGGGGTAGAAGAACATGTGAGGCGGTTGCAAGTGAGGCGGCGAGCTCACCCTCACGCTCGCTTGGAAGCGCTTCTCGTCGATCTCGGTCAGCATCGGCTCCGAGCTTATCGGCACCGGCACCGGCACCGACACCGGCACCGGCACCGGCACCACCACCTCCGGCGGTGTATACTGCTGCTGTTCCCTATTACCAGGGTACAGGTAATAGGCGTAGTCGCGCTGAACGGCGTACGTGGTCGACTCCAGGCAGACCTCTTCGATCTTGAGGTTCTCCTTGTCGTCAGTGGGCAGTGCCGGGCTCGCGACCGCGCTACCAAGACCGCCTTGAGAGATTTCGATGTCCGGTTCGATCGGTGAGCCGCCGGTAGGCGACGCGCCGACGTCCGTGACGACGACGGCAGCGGCAGCGGCGACCGCTGCCGCTGCCGCGGCCGCGACAGCGACCGCTGCCGGCGACTCCGGATGCTTCTTGATGTGTAGTTCCATCGTCTTCTTCGAGCCGAAGGTCTCGTTGCAAATCGTGCACTTGTATACCTTTTCGCCGTAGTGTGACACCTGGTGCAGCTTGAGCACGTGGTTGTAGCCAAAGGCCTTGCGGCAGATGTCGCAGGTATAGGGTTTCTCGCCAGTGTGGGTGCGCGTATGGACCTTCAACTGCTTGGAGCAGGTGAAGCCCTTCTTGCAGGACTTACACACATACGGCTTCTCGCCGGTGTGCGTGCGCATATGTATCACCAGCTGGCCGCTCTGTATGAACGTCTTGGAGCACACGGTGCACTTGTGTGGTCGCTCACCAGTGTGGATGCGCATGTGACGGTGCAGTTTGCCGCTGTGCTCGAATGCACGGCCGCACACGTCGCACTTGTACGGTCGTTCCTTCGTGTGGATACGTCGGTGCACGCTCAGATTTTCCTTCACCGAGAACGACTTGCTGCAGTACTCGCACTGGTACGGCTTCTCGCCGGTGTGCGTGCGATAGTGCCGAGTGAGTCGTGCTGGCACCGCGAACGTCTTGCCGCAGATGTTGCAGCGGTAAGGACCCTCGCCGTCCTTACCGTGGGACCGCAGGTGACTCTGGTACACGCTCTTCTGCGTGAAGGTCTTCCGACAGAGTAGACACTGGTACTTGCCGCTGCCATCCGCTGCCGCTGCCGCTACCGCCGCCGCCGCCGCCGCCGCCGCCGCCGTCGTCGTCGTTGTCGTTGCCGTTGTTGTCGTCGTCGTCGTCGTCGTCGTCAACGTCGCCGTCATCATCGTCGTTGGACTACCCGGACCGATTTCCGCGCTGCAACTCGGCGTGGCGAACATGGTGAGATCTGGACTGCACACCAGCCTCTTCACCGGGTTCATCGCGTCCAGATCAGCACCGCCGACCATGCCACCGTGTACCGACATCGTTGCTGGATTTGGCATGGGTTCCGCCTGATAGTAAGCCAACATCGAAGATGGGATGCTGCAAATGGAAATGTCGGGAGAAGCCCGGTCAGTCAAATCGCTCGTCACGTGGAACAGTTGTTTCGTAATCGCGCCGATGTAGTCGTAGCACGATCGTCGGGTCGGAGCGTGGTGTGGTGGATCACACATGGCGTGTGCTCGCACATTCCCGGTATAAACGAATAAACGAGAACGCTCCAGGACTCGAGCTCGAAAAGTTGGGAAAATGGACTACGATTTCACAGTCCATGATGAGTAGTTTTCAAGTATTCGATTACGGAGTTCCTTGTGGAGCCCTTTGTGAAGCAGTTCCTTAAACAGCCAAGTAGACTTGGCGGATCACCACGCGTTATCGATTGTCGGTCGCTGTCGCTGTTGCCTCGCATCCGACTTGTATTCTAACCGGACACGGAAGTTATAGTAATAATAAATAAAGAAAAAAAGGGGGCCAATCGTCGAGAACGTTTTATCGGAGTGTGTTGTTTGCGCGATAAAATGGCGCGTGCGCGCGCGTGAGTGTCAACGGAGAATATTACAACTGTTGCTTAGCCATACGTGTAGATATGCGCTTAGTCATAAATATTCTTTCAAACTTTGCTCGCTCGCGTACTCTGTACTCATCGGAAACGTGAAAACTGCGCTTCGAAAGCATCGTAACGCCTATTGCTTCTCTTACGATGATAACGTAGGTAGACAGCGTGAGCAAGTGTGCGTGTGTGCGCGTGTGCGTATGCGCGCGCGCGATGTTTCGTTGAAATTTTAGACTAATCTATTCAAATTAAATAATCTCGAGATAACACGAGAGAAAATACGAGATATATGTAAACAAACTGGCGGACAAACGGACAATATTCATGTCGTTTAGATTAGCCAAATCGCACGAGCACGAGCACGAGCATACGTACGTATACATGCGCAATGCGCGCCTTGCTCGGTGCTGTCTGCACGCGCCTGGAGGCTGCGGGTGCGGTCGGCGGCACAGTGCAGTGAGTCGTCCCTCCTTACCGCTCCCCCCACCTACCGGCACCAACACACAGTTCGCAACGCGCGTCGTCTCTTTCGCGCCGCGTCAAGCCAAATCGGCCGAAACCCGTGCGACCGCCTCCACGTGTGCGAGTCGCATTTTTTTATAGCGATCACCGACCTCGTCCAACTCAGCGCGCAGTAAGGACGTCGTGTTACATCACGAGAACGCGCGCCGTGGCGAGACACGTCCGGCGTTAAACGGCGTACGATGCGCTCGTTCTTTCCTTCGTTCCCTCCCCTCCGCGCTTCGCAAAAATCCTCCTTCGCCGTTATCAGCTCCTCCATACACTCTTTGCCACAACAGAGCCGCCTTCTTCTTGACCAAGCCGCCCCGCTTTAATCGGTTCCCCTATGAAAGGCAGAGAGAGAGAGAGAGAGAGAGAGAGAGAGAGAGAGAGAGAGAGAGAGAGAGAGAGAGTACCGCTACGCAGTGGGATACGCAAAAATCGTATTGATCCGCGGAAACGTCCCCGCTGCCGAGGGGAAATCTCGCCCTAGAGCCGAATCGCCACCGCTCTCGCCCGGAAGATACTTTCGGCCGATTTTACGATGGAACCGCGCCTCTATTCTCTCCCCCCCTCTCTCACTCTCTCTCTCTCTCTCTCGCTCTCTCTCTCCCCCTCCCTCCCTCCCTCCTCTTCTCGCTTCTATCTCTTCAGCTCAGTGTAAACCGCGCACGGTGACTTTTGATCGCATTTTACGTACGTACGTAGATTCTTGTCTCACTCTATATACGTTACTCTATGCGCGAAATATTAGTAGATTCCGATCCTTCTCGCGGTACATTAAGGTATAAAATGATCTGTCAAATGAAAAGAGAAACAACATTCTACTCTAGAGAATTCTACTCTAGATATCACGAAATTTTTCCAACTTTTTGTCCGAAGATGCTTCTGTCATCAGATCACACGCATCGGACAATAAATCGGAAACGAAAGCTACCGGTGATTGAATATAGCGACATAAGATTTCAATTGACGATAGCCGGCTTGTCTCGAAACACACCTCGCGTTAACCGAATCAGTCACTTTACGTCTCTTCTTCGACGCGTTTCTTCGCGGTCGGTGAGAAATTTAATTCGGTCGTATCGACTGTTTCAAAACGACCGAATTCAAAACGGCGGATGCGACGATATAAAAAAAACACTTGGTTTCGCGCAAAAAGATAAATCGTACGGATTCGATCGTACCGTACCCATGAATTTAAACCCATGGATTTAAAGAAGGGTACGACGAATAGAAGCGGGGAGAGGGGGCACAGAAAGACTCGTCAACACGTATTCGCAAAATTAACAGTCGAGGAATCATACTTATCAGGAAACAACAATGTCAACAATGTCCGGTTCGGATGCGGATTCGCGAATCCGAGGATTCGGCAGCAAGATGAAAGAAAATAGGAATACGAGGAAAGGTTAAATGTCTCGACAGGGAGAAAGCACCCACCTGCACGTCCACGTTATACCCTCGCGCAATCCAGCGAAATCCGAGCGTTCGTTATCACTGACCCTAGCTTCGTCGGCGACATCCACGAGACTTCGGCGGTGGCGAGAGATTCGAATCAGTTTTATGACAATTTGCCGATCGAAGAAAATTCGCCGATCGGGCGAAAGACAACGTCGTGTTCGCACGGTCGCACGACAACTCAACGCGCAAACGAGAGTTTCGTTCTTTTCTGCTCCGCTCTGATCTGCTCTGCTCTGCTAATTCCTCTGCCACTGCTACTTCTTCGTCGTCGTTATCATCATCATCTTCTTCTTTTCGACAGAGAGTCAGGAAGGAAAACCGAAGAACCCGCCGCCTCCGGGCCAGCCAATCGTACTGTACAATGTTTACCTCCTCGACCGCGTCGAGCGCGATCACGACCGAAGCGCGCACGCACGAGCGCGCGATCGTTCTCCCCTCTACACGCCACCGCGAAACTCCCTACCTTCTCCCCCTCTCACTCTCTCACTCCCTCCCTCACTCTCTCTCTCTCTCTCTCTCTCTCTCTCTCTCTCTCTCTTCACGTCCCGCCACCTATCGACCTATCGTCCGTTCGTCCCTCGCCCCACGCCCCTCGACGCGCTTGCCCGCGAACCGGCGGCTGCGACCTAGAATTTCGCGCGGCGGCCGAGTGCCGTTTGCAGCACGTGGAGGCTGTCGCCGTGGTTTCCGACCAGTCGCACTCGCGCCAGCGCGTACAATTCGCCACGATGTTGGGGCGTCGCGGCGTGGGGAGAGGGCAAGGGTGGCGGACGACGATCGCGAGATGACGCAGGGACGTATCCGACGCTCGACGTCAGGGAGGCCAGTTACGTAGAATGGCCTTTATACCTTGATGTCGATTAATCCCTATTGCGTATCATGTCCAAAATTATTTCTTCCACTTGTAATATACGAGTATATCAAAACTGGCACATGACGATGGTTAACGTCCACATTTTGAGTATTTTTAACGATCTTGCGTATGGATCTTTTTCTCGTCTTTGAGCTATCTTAGAGGCGCAAATTGAAATTTTGGGATGATATTGCGAGTAATTAGAACAAAAAATCGTTATCTCCGTTATTGTTGTTATGCCAATGATGTTACTACTACAATGATTGTTACTGTTGTACTTACTATTGTTGTACTGATCAAGCGGTTTTATCGCGTGCAATAAAGCAGCGTCGTTTATTTACAAATAACAAGCCTTATCAACGATTCGTTGTTGATTCGTGCGCGTGCTCTTTGCGAGCTGTAAAATTTTATCTCGAAATTTAGGAGATAAGCTCATCCCTTAATTAACCGGCGCATTATCATTATAAACAATTACCGCTTCACTCTTATGCATACGTGTAACTCCTTTTTCTTCATTTCTCCAACTTTTCACGCGCGCACGCACGCACGCACGCACGCACGCACGCACGCACGCACACGCACACACACTCTCTCTCTCTCTCTCTCTCTCTCTCTCTCTCTCTCTCTCTTTTTCTCTCGTTATGGCATTCGCCATAAACTCCAAAACTGATCGCGAAGCAACAATGCATGCATTTAGACGTAAATTACACGTACAAATTATGGTAAATATGACATTTAGAAATCATAGTTTTGGAAGAGAAAACACGCATTTGGATATAATCAGATGATATTTGTCAGGTTGAACGTAAAAGATTTGCAAAATTTAATTCCGATAACATCTGTTGGATCGTGCTATGCGCGATACGATACTGTAGATGACAGAAGAGTAAGAGGATGAAGAAAGAAAGGGGGAGGGAGGGGGAGGGAGGGAGGGAGGGAGGGAGGGAGGGAGGGAGGGAGGGAGGGAGGGAGGGAGGGAGGGAGGGAGGGAGGGAGGGAGGGAGGAGAGAGAGAGAGAGAGAGAGAGAGAGAGAGAGAGAGAGAGAGAGAGAGAGAGAGAGAGAGAGAGAGAGAGAGAGAGAGAGAGAGGGTGCGTGAGATCAAAGAGCGGAGACGGCGAAAGGGACAAAGGGTGCCGGAAAGAGGAAGTGAGAGGTAGGAGGGTGTAAAGGACGCGGTGACCTGCGGAGGTTCGCACGTGTATAGTTACGGATTCGACGCCACACATGCGCGATGGCGCGCTCGTGCGAATTTAACCCCTGCGTGCCAGTACCGCATTAAGTGTTCATATAGCCCCGTATGTGTCTAGAGGCCACAAACCACGCGAGGGATGATTCATTCTCGCGTAATATTATCTTTTCCAATGTCTCGTGTTTATGCAAGCCATCCGGCAAAAATCAAGTTCTTACTGTCACTTTATCAATATGTTTCACACGTATTCGGCACCTGTGTCGAAGAAAATGGACTGCATATTCGGAAATATTGACCGATATTTTAAATTCTCCTTTATTGAGATGATTAAGAGAGAATTCTAAATATCAGTCCACAAAAGAGAATACGAAATATCAAATTGTTTCGCAAAATATATACGCGCCGCTCGTTTCATATCTATAATTCATACCTATAACGTAGCTTCGATTCCACGTCAGGTTCGTATACACGGATTTATGTGGATTTGCCAAGCTATTCGCACAAGTTCTGCTGAATTTTCAAAATTCTCTTCCTCATGGTCTTAATTATATTTCGTAATCGTAAGACCTATATACTACGGCAAATTCGTCAAAGTTATATAGTTTGTGACATGCAGTCAACACGCACGAGTTAACTACTTCATTTTATCTTTGTCTATCGTTGACGTTGATGAAATATGATTCATAAATAAACTCACGTTTGATAATCATCCGTTTGTTTAGACTCATCATCAGAGCATGTTGACCAAGTGTCACTTTAAGAAATAGACAGCTTCTTCACTAAGTAGAGTCGTAGAATAGTACTACTCGTGGCCCATCTCGTTATTTAACTTACATTCAGAAAATACAAAAGAAATGGAGAGCTCGCGCGCGTTAACTCAAAGGGAGAAGTCACACGGCGCGAGAAAGGCGCGCGCGTGGCGCAAAATCTGCCAACGACGTCTCTGTATCGTATACGCTGCTGCTCGTCATTGACGACTATGCTCATGTATATGCGTGCTTGCGTATGTATGTATGTACGTGCGTACGCTCGTAGCGACTGGTTAAGAGTCGCGCGTTTGTCTTTCGCTTTCACCGCGCGCTCTCTGCCCTGTTCTTCTTCTCCTTTCGCGAGGGCCTTGGATAGTGCATAATCATTCACATGATTGGTTACAGTTTATCGAAGAAGGGCGGGATGATGAGAGCCGAATGGAAAAAGGACTACATTCGCGTTGGTAAAGAGAGCGAAGAAGCACAAGTCTGATTGAATTCTTTGTTCACGTTTCTTGAGAGAAACTTTCTCATGCGAGCCTTTATGCTTTTGTATGCCAGGAAATGTCTCGATTGTCGTCGAACCGAGATATCGTCCGAGTCTGCTTTTCGTTCTC